CCATCATCCAACGACTGGAGGGTATGTGGTGACTACAGAGCTCTGAACCTCGTCACCAAACCTGACAGGCACCCTATCCCGCATGTCCAGGACTTCCACCACAAACTCCATGGCAAGACCATCTTCTCGAAGATCGACTTGGAGCGTGCCTTCCACCAGATCTCAGTAGCACCTGCAGATACCCAGAAGACAGCCCTCATAACTCCGTTCGGTCTCTTCGAGTATGTCTTCATGAGTTTTGGTCTACGCAATGCAGCCCAGACCTTCCAGAGGTACATGGACCACATGCTTCACGACCTCGATTTTGTCACTGTCTACATAGACGACATTTTCGTCGCATCTCCGACGCCTGCCGAGCATCTTCGCCACCTACAGCTCCTTTTCCAACGCCTGCAGAACAACAACATGAAAGTTCACCCTGCCAAGTGCGTCTTCGGAGCCTCCACCATCGACTTCCTCGGTCACAGAGTTTCGCCGAGCGGCATCCAACCCCTGCCACAGAAGGTAACTGCCATTAGGGAGTTCCCCAAACCTGAAACGGCGAAGAAACTCCGAGAATTCCTGGGTTTAGTCAATTACTACCACCGCTTCATTGCCCACGCTGCTACCGTCCTCGTGCCCCTCTACGATCTTCTCAAGGGACTCCCAAAGACATCTCACAAGCCTTTCATTTAGACTCAAGAGGCTGTTACGGCATTCACCACTATCAAGCAGCACATCACACGCCTTATCCTCCTGGCTCACCCTGCACCCAACGCCCGGATCACTCTCACAACAGACGCTTCTTCTACTGCCCTGGGCGCCCATTGCCTTCTTCTCACAGCAGCTTCAACCACCACGCCTCAAGTACAGCGCCTTCGATCGAGAACTCCTGGCCGTATACCTTGCTGTTTTGCATTCCAGCACTTCCTCGAGGCCCGTCAGTTCACCATCTTCACCGATCACAAGCCCCTCGTCCACGCCTTCGCTTCAGCCTCCCAGTCACATACACTTCGTGTCCTTCGCCACTTGGCTTACATCTCGGAGTTCACCAGCGACATCCAACACATAAAAGGCAGCCACAACGAGATCGCTGACACCCTCTCTCGTTGTATATCCAGCATTCTTCCCTCATCTCCACCCATGGATTACAGACAGCTCGCCGTGGCTCAAGAGAACGACGAAGACCTTGCAGCATACAAGACATCTCCCTCAGGTCTCGCCCTTCAAGAACTCCCCGTTCCCGGCACGAACATCAAGTTGTGGTGCGACATGTCCTGTGGGCAGCCTAGACTGTTCGTGCCTCACGTCCACCGCCGCGCCATCTTCAACCGCATCCATGGTCTCAGCCACCCGGGTGTACAGGCCTCCCAGCGCCTCCTCACGCAACGTGTCGTCTGGCTCGGCATCAAGGCCAATACTAGGAAATGGGCTGCCCAGTGCCTGGCCTGCCAGTCCTTTAAAATACATCGACACACGCGGGCCCCCTTAGAAACCTTTCCTATACCCAAAGGACGCTTCCAGGTAGTGCACCTCGACATCGTGGGACCTCTTCCATCATCCTGTGGCAACACCTACATCTTCACCTGCATTGACCGTTTCACCAGGTGGGCAGAAGCCATTCCCATGCCCAATGCTACAGCAGTCTGCCGTCCGCGCCTTCCTGTCAGGTTGGATCTCCCGTTTCGGTCCCCCCACGACCGTCATCACTGACCGAGGAGCCCAGTTTGAGTCACAACTCTGGCACAGCCTCCTACAGTTCCTCGGCTCTTCTAGGCACTGCACTACCGCTTACCACCCTCAATCCAACGGCATGGTAGAGCGGTTTCACCAGCAGCTGAAGGGCGCAATCAAGGCACAGCACGACCCTTACAGCTGGACGGATGCTCTACCCTTAGTGCTCCTCGGCATCCGTGCATCACACAAGGAGGACATGGACTGCAGCCCAGCAGATCTCACCCTAGACGAAGCCCTTCGCCTACCCGGAAAATTTTCACTCCCTCCTGACCTCGACCACTCCACTCCTACCGTCTGTCAGGACCTACTGCAAAAACTACAACAAGCAGTTTCTGCATTCAGATCTACTGCCCCACGCCAGCCTACTCGGCGCCCTGAACACATCCCTCCTGCACTACTCAATGCCGAGTATGTCTTCGTCAGGCGCGATGCTCGCCGCAACCCACTTCAATGCCCCTAAGACAGACTCTTCCAGGTTGTTGCACGTTCAGCGAAGTTCCTGACGATCATCCGCAATGGCAGACACGACACCGTCAGCATAAACCGAGTGAAGCTGGCCTCCTTACCCGTTGGGCCCCCAGCCCAGCATTACCCCCAACAAACTACGCCTTCACCAGTCTGCCCGCAGTTACCACTTGCAGCAACACCCCGTCCACGACATTTCTGGGCACCCTCTTTTCATCCTCAGGTACCTACTGCTCCTGTCGTGGACCCTGCTGCTGACGTGGACCCTGCTCCTGTCGTGGACCCTGCTCCTGACGTAGACCCTGCTCCTGACGGGGACCCTCCTCCTGATGTGGCCCCTGCTCCTGACGTGGACCCAGACACCCCAACCAGTGACCCTGAGGACTTTGCTCCTGCCGCAAGAGAAGCACCACATTCCTTGCCTGTTCAACCTTCTCTCATCCACAACCCTCCTTCTCCCTCTGTTTCTCCCACAGGTTTTGTGTCACTAGGCGGAGTCGTCACCCGTAGCGGCCGAGTCGTACATACACCTGCCTGGTATGTCTCACATGTGGGGCACAACCCTGCCGACAACTAGTCTCCTGCTGCGCCCGGAGGGGAGGGGGAGTATTGTAGTGGATACTCTCCCCTACAACTGCCGACTGATCACCTGCCATTGGCTTACCAGCCAATCAGCTTACAGCCAGCGACGTCGACAGACTAAGTCTCAGGTACGGACAGAGGAGTACTATCGCGACTGAGGCTTGAGCTTCAACGTCTCAGCCAGGATCAGCGCTCCCGTCCTCTCTCGCGCACTGCACGGTGACTGGCCCCGCACATTTCACACCTTTTCACACCTCGTGTCTCTGATCCTGAGCAGTTGTATAAATACGCGTAGGCCTGGCTGTGGAGGTCATTACTAGAGGAATAAAGATGAGAGTGACCAACCAGCTCCACTAAGAACCTGGCAGGCCTCTCCATACAGTGTACCTTTAGACTAACACAACTAACACTTAACTAACACCTAAAAAAAAAAAAAAATGTGACTACCCTCCCAGTTACACAAGGACCTGGGCGGGCTCACTAACTCCAACAATAACAAATAATAATAATAAGCAGCATTATATAAATAAACCAATATTAATACAAAGGTCTGACGACCCAAGGGAGCAGAACAAAGACAAAACACCAATAAGAAAGATGAAGCGATCTGGTTGAGCCCAGATTCTTTCTACTCCTACTGTATTTCAGTTTCACCACTTTTCCTTCAACTCCTAATAATCTTCTTTCACCTCTTAACTAAAGACTTCGTATCGTATCGTGGAGGTCATTCTAATCTACTCTCCTGAACCAGCAAGACCTCTCAACAAGTGCCTCACCAACCAGCTCCCTCAAAAAGTTCCTCACCCAACAGGACCTCTGAGCAAGCTTCTCACCACACATCAACTCCCTAGCACTGCACTGTACATACAGTATATATATATATATATATATATATATATATATATATATATATATATATATATATATATATATATATATATACATACATACAGAAAACGCATTGTGAGTTTTTATTCTACCTCCATCCTGAGTGTGAGATATCTTTCATGTACACTCTCACCAAAAAGTATCGGTGCAGGGTGAGATCGACGACTTCGGAAACGATACGTATACACTGTGATATGTCGGGAAGGTTGGTAGGTGTATCCTCATAACCTCCCCCCCCACTTGGTGTTGCCATATGGCTGACAATCAGTGTGTTTGTTTTTTCTTTTCGGATTGTTGCTTTGTGTCGACTGAATGATGAGCGAGGATTCGGTTTCGGTGAACTTGGGTATAAAACAGAGGCAATATGAAGCAGTAGAGATCTACACATGCCAAACGACATGGAAACCTCAGAGGGAACATGAGGAGCTATTATTGCCCTTCATAACGAAGGGTTCGGCGTCACAGATATTAGCCGGCGGGTTGGTGTCCACAGGAACACCGCTGCACGATGGATTCGGCGATACCTCGAAACTGGTGCTGCAGATGACAGGTCTCGGAGCGGCCGTCCACGCTGCACCACCCCTCAGGACGACCAGGTTGAGTGGTTTATTTGGTAGCATAAATTATTGTGGCAATATTCACAAGTATCACCAATAATTTTGTTAACAGGGGGCTCCTCATATTTCACACTGTCTATTTATCACTTCCCGACCTTATTTATAAAGGTTTGTTTCACTTGACCAGGGTTGCCAACATACGGCTGGAACAACTCGCCTTTCCCAATACCTAGCGTCACTGGTCTCAAATTGTTCACACTACAGTATGCACCGATACTTTTTGTTGCGAGTGTACGTACGTATGTGAGCCCATGCAAAGAGATAATAGACAAGCAAAGAGAATTTGACAACTGGCCACATACAGTAAGCTACAGTATAATAACAACAGGGCAAGTGCTTGATAAGGTTCACAAGAGAAGACCAATAAGTGTTCGTAGTTATGGGGGGAAATGTGTCAATATTAAATTTCAGTACCGACGACAAAAATATAAAATGAGTAACAATATCACCACTGAACGTCACAAGAAACACGCACACAGCTGTAGTGTACTGTTATTATAACATCAGTAGGTCTTGTGGTCAGTGTATAGGTGTAGCGCAGTGTAGTGTACATCACCATCAATAACAGTCACTACCAACCATTAGAACAACAATTTATAAACGTAATTAACTCACAAAAAAAAATTATTAAATAAATCAACACGTGACACACGGCAACTCCACCACAAGTTGGGCACCACAGGCAATATTTAGAGGAAGCGATACAGGAAGTAAGTGTCAGTCAGAGTCTGGTGAGAGCTAAGACAAGAGGAAGAGTTTGAAGAGGAGCTTACCTACTATTGAGTGTAATCAGGAAAACGCTTCTCACACACAAATCACACTCCAAGGAGGGAATTGTTGTGATTGCAAGTTGCTGGTCAAGAGAGAGAGAGAGAGAGAGAGATGAGCCCCCGTAGTATGGCAGGTACTGTACTGTTGAATGTCACCCTGAGAAGACACATTTTTTGTGGTTGTGTTGTGGTCCTTGTAAACGAAAGTGAACTGAAGATTATTTAATTATTATCGAGAGGTTGGTCTGTTCTTTGTTATGATCTTTATTGTCCAGTGTTTGGTAATGGCACGCTGGATAACACCCTTCACAAAACCTAGCCTAACCTAACCTAATCTGACCTAACCCAACATAACCAAAAATTATCTAACCTAACATAACCTAACCTAATTTAACAACTAAACCTAACCTGACTGTCAATTGAATTACAGTAGGAACATAATAGAATCTAGTCTCATTAAACATACCGAATCCGTCAACATGAATTTGAGTAATGGTATGTATAAATTGGATAATTTCGTAATTAAGAAGATTTGTAACCAGGTGAGAAGGTTGGGTCAGCTTACCCTCTGACCTGACTACCGACCGCTGTGGTGCTTTTGTGAAGATTAGTAGGGTCACTACCTATACCTGACCACTGTGGACTTGTTCTCACCCTCCTCTGTATATATATAACTTGTTCTGCACTTCTATTTTAGTCTGTACTCACCCCTGAAGATGTGAATTACGCCAAAGCGCTTGGGAACTTCGTGCTTTGTTTTTCCTTGTGGTTATCAGCATATACCTGGATCACGCGCACCTATAGTTATTTACTTGCATATATATATATATATATATATATATATATATATATATATATATATATATATATATATATATATATATATATATATATATATATATATATATATTTTAGTCTGTACTCAACCCTGAAGATGTGAATTACACGAAAGCGCTTAGGAACTTCGTGTTTTCTTTTTCCTTGTGGTTATCAGCAAATACCTGGATCACGCGCACCTACAGTGATTTATTTGCACACACACACACACACACACATATATATATATATATATATATATATATATATATATATATATATATATATATATATATATATATATATATATATATATATATATATATATATAGATATATATATATATTGAGTTGGTTTCTCTTTACGCTGATCTACGCACATTTCCGATTCTTAACTATAGAGTACGTTATTTTGTGAGAACTGCACGTTGCTCGGGGGAAAAAAGCTCTGCCTAAGAGTCGCTATATAATTTGTGAAGAACACCACAATATTTAGTGTGCGTTCCTCTTTGCACACGCACACACACAGGAGTGCACGAAGCGGAAGAAGCGCAACCACACCAGAAATTAAAACTTTTTGGAATGAGCCACGTCTTGAAATAAACCGTTACAGACCTCTCTAACTCACACCGTATCTGCACTTGGTAATAACACTGGCGGGAAGCTAGTGATTGAACTCCTGAGGGAGGTGGTGGCGAAGATGAAATGGAAGACAAGGATTGGAAGCCAAACGGATCACCTGAATATTACTCACCCCAGCTTATTTTATATACTGTAAAGATTAACCACGATAACCTAATTTAGCTTAAACTTGACTTAGCTTAAAGTAACCCCTCAGGTATCGTTAAGGTGGTTATTCTTCAAGTAAAACAAGCTTGGGAGTCTATTTTTCAAGTGAAATGAACTGAGGTGATTAATCTTCCGGTGAAATAAGCCGGGGATGTCTAAACTTCAGGTAATCCAGCCAAACTATAAAAACCTTATAATTAAAATAACAAACCAGCAGAGAGGAAGCAACAACAGAACGAGAACTTAACAAAATCGTAAGAAACGTGGAAAAACTGGGAGAAGCATCTTTTAACAAGCCCGTTAATCTCCCCGTGTTGCCAACTATCAGAAGTGGTTAGTTCTACTCTTGTTTCTCTCCCCTATCCTTCCTCCCTTCTCTCAATCCTCCCCATTCTTTCCTCCTTTCTATCTTCCTCCACACTGCTTTATACAACTCAAGTCATTAGATCCACCCAACCATTACACACCTCTACGGTACAATAACCTCCACTTATCACTGTACGCACCGCCCAAGAAAATCATCCTTTACAAATACACGGCACCATATAATCAACCTCTTATCTGGAGAAGCCAATTGAGAAAGACTCCCGAGAACGACCAATAAAATACCACCATTCTGTTATCCCCATTAAAAAAATAACTCTCCACCCAGGAAGTAGTATCCGTTAACCTCCAGTCCTCTTACGTGATGATGGGAGGGGAAAAAAGAGACACGTTAATAACGACGCTTGAGCTACAAGGCATTGAACATCAAACCACACGTCTTTATATCCGGGAATTTGCGACCCACCTCTGCTTTTGATATACGTGCAGTTGGTCCTTACTTCCTTCCTTCCTTTCCTTCTTCTCCCTCCCTCCTGTCCCCCCTCAGTCTTATAAGAACATAAGAAAATAAGGAGTCTGCAATAGGTCGGTTGGCCTGTGCATGGCAGTTCCTGTCGAGAGTTACTACCACTCTCTATCATCCATGAATCTATCCAGCCTCCCATTGAAACTTTCCAGAGTTCCAGCACTTACTACAAAGTTGCTAAGCTTGTTCCACTCGTCCACCACCCTATTTGTAAACCAGTTCCTTCCTATCTCCCTCCTAAACCTAAACTTATCCAACTTGAATCCGTTGCTCCGAGTCCTATACTGCTCGGATATTATAAGAACTTTATCTATATCACCTTTATTGATTCCTTTCACCCACTTGAATACTTCTATCATATCTCCCCGCACTCTTCGTCTTTATAGGGAATACAAGTTTAGTTTCTTTAACCTATCCCGATATGGAAGGTTTCTAAGTCCCGGAATCATTTTCGTCATTCTTCGCTGCACCGACTCTAGTGAATTGATATCCATTCTATAATAAGGGCACCAGAACTGAACCGCATAATCGAGGTGCGGCCTGACTAGCGCAAGATATAGTTGCAATAAGACCTCTGCACTCTACTTACACTTCTAGATATAAAACCCAATACTCTGTTTGCCTTATTTCGAACATTAACGCACTGTTTTCTAGGCCGTAGGTCCGGGCTTACAAGTACCCCTAGGTCTCTTTCACAAGTCGACTTCTCTAGGTTGATGTTGTTAAGGCTGTATACATTGACAGTATTTGTTCTTCCAATATTAAGTACGCTACACTTGCTGGTGTTGAATTTCATTTGCCATTTTTCAGACCACCCCTGCATTTTATTTAGATTCTCCTGTAATGCATTTGCATCCTGCCCTGAATTAATCTGTCGCCCTATTTTGGTGTCATCCGCAAACTTGCTTATGTCACTGCTGATCCCAGTATCTAGATCGTTTATGTAGATTATGAACAAGAGTGGGCCTAGTACTGACCCCTGGGGAACCCCACTGGTTACACGACCCCACTCAGATTTAACACCATCTACCTCCCTCCCTCCCCTAAGTCTTCTACAGTGTACCTCCCTCCCCTAAGTCTTCTACAGTGTACCTCCCTCCCCTAAGTCTTCTACAGCGTACCTCCCTCCCCCTGTGGGATAATCACAAAGAAAATCCGTCGTAATTAATGTTTTGTTACAGGTGTGATGAAGAAGCGAGTCGAGAGGCACCTGCATGTAGCGATGGCGTGTGTGTTGATGGCTTTATATGTCTTCGTGTAAGTCTGTTTTATGTTTATTTACAGTAAGTAAGTCTAATTCATCTTTTCAGCAATATCCTTATTTTCATTTGCTTAATGAAGTATTATATAGGACAGATAATAACGGAAGTTTATACTTGTCATTCTCTCTCAATGAAAATAATAAACATTAGTTCAGATAAATATTTACTGTTGTTGCTGTTGTTGGTACGGGCATCTTACACGCGTCTTTTTTTTTTTTTGCAGCAACGGTGTCCCTGGCAGACCACCACCACCAGGTAAGTTGTGATTTTTATTGGAGGGAAATCTAAACACATAATTCGAGAACCAGACTCTAGCGTGATAACCTTATCAGGATCCTTACATCTATAGAGGACGACAAGTGAGCATCGAAAGTGCACGATTTTGATGAGATTCGATCATGTTATATTTGGGTTTAATCCCCTAATTGATATTCCTGTTATTGTGAATGTATCGAAGTGTCCTGGTCACTTGGTTTATTTCTCTCTACTGTGAATGACGCACTAATAGCCATTAAGCCAGATATGCTTATTTGTTCACTATTGTATTTGTTCTAATGTAGAAACAGTGGGAAAAAAGTTGTATTACCTGAAGATTAGCCCCAGTTTTTTCACCTGATGATTAAACACTTAATCCAACAAAATTTAACCTAACTTAACCCCCAGGTAGCGTTAAGATTGAGATAGAATACATGATAAAAAAAAGTGACACGAAATATAGGCAACAGATTAGTAAATATTTGTCATCTTAGATTTCTTATACCACTTTATACACATTTAGACAACAGAGGGCATCACTATACATACACACACACAGAGTCTAAATCCAAGACTCCTCCCAGCAGAGGGATGTGTTGGACGAGGGTGTCATGTACAACTCCTCGCTGACACACTACACAGCAGAGTGAAGCGACCATTGGGTATGTCAAATTGCTCTATTGTTTACCATTGTTTGTATACCCAAGATAATGTAAGTTTTGGTTGTAATAGAAACTGTATTAAGTGTATGTACGTTATACATAAGTTTTATGACATATAGTTTGTTTTGGTGAACTACTGTTTTTGCTGCAAACTATCGAGAGAGTAGAGAGTCGTATCTTGAAGTGTTTACTGAGATCACCATCCCTCCCTCCTTCCTTCCTTCCCTTTATACTGGTCTACAACACGGTGGTCATATATCTGTTCTTTATAGGAGATAAACTGCAACTGGACATGACGGGTGCTTCTTGGAGGTCTTGGCAAGGTGATGACCCCGGGAGCCCTTGTGTCGACTATGAGACCAGGTCAGTCTAGGTCACTGCTGATGGTGTAGTAATGTCTTTCTTCTGTGGTTGACTTTTGGGGACATTTATGCTGCACTAGACTGTTTGATCTAGCACTTATGAGGAAAATTCAGTGTTTAAGCCTTCAGATGTTAGGTTACGTTTGGATGAATCAGGCTGGTAAATCTCGAGCATTCAGGGTTACCATCACCTCCGATCCCAGTGTTTAGGTGTCGGTAGGCACTCACTCGAAATAAGGAATAGGAAAACAAAAGGGTGTATCTAGGCTCTCTTAACAAATATAGTTGATTGTCACTAATAGGTTCGGACATGATGTGGCGCGAGTGTGGCTGGTGTCCTTCCCGTGTTCTGGCAACACGTGGGTTCGCTACCTGCTGGAGTCAGCGACAGGGGTCTTCACCGGCTCCGCTTACAAAGACAAAATACTTTACGAGGCTGGTGAGTGTTGATGTGTTGTCTGTATGATCGCCACCCTCTGTAACAGCATCAGTCCACTCCTTGTTCTCGGTCTCCCCCACACCCGTCCACATACTCCTCCTGGAGTCTAACACAAAATCATAAAGATACTTGGGGGGGGGGGGTAAATTAATAAGAGGATATATGAGAGTGACTTATTGGTGGTCCTTCAGGGATGTTTGGAGAGATGGAGGCCCCCAGCAGCGGCAGGACCTTGGTGCAGAAGACCCACGGTGGTGCTGTCTACGGCAGTCCTCAACACGACCTACTCACGCGCTACTCCCTCATCAACCCTCATCTACCCACCATCCTGCTCCTCCGTCACCCTGCCAGGTTATTAGTTACATCGTTTAACGGCAAGTCTCCACAGTTCGGGAGATAAGGACAGTCGAGTACAGCGCCAGCCAAACTACCTCCTTGTGTATCATAAAAAGGCTAACGCCCGTATTATTAAATATCGCAGTACAGTACTTAAGTAAAATTGACTAATTCCAATATTATAAATTAATTTTATTGGAATTAGTTAATTTTACCGCCACACCACCCCGTTAAGTACTGTACTGCGGTGTCCCTCAAGACTCATTTTATTTAAAACTCGGGTTGAAACACGACGAACCTCTTCAAGGGAAGATGTTATTTAATAATACGGGCGTAACGCCCGGAGTTTTAAACACCCTCTTCTGTTGAAAAGGGTGTTTAAAACTCTTGGCTTAGTATTCAGAGCGATGTGTACACACTGTCCCTAGCGAGGTGTCAGACCCAAGAGACTTCCCCTCACAACAAATATAGTGGAACTCTACTGACATTACTCTTCAAATATAAATCACGATGTTTCAGTTCTCTGTTCATGATATTTATCTAAGCATCTGAAAGTATTTGTAGTTTTGTCAGAAGAAACAATTGGTTAGTTTCGTCCTGATCATGATTACATTTACCGGGCATCTCTCACACGACAGAGCCATCATCTCCTACTGGAAGTTCTACACATCAAGGACCAGGAACAATAAACACACAGCCCAGATATCACCAAGTATGTTCGGTGGAAAAGGTACGACTGTATATCCTTTTTCTTACTCTCATATTACCTAAGTAAATAAACACAAAATGTTTTGTCAAGGATCTTAATTTGCACTCCCTCGAGAGACGTAGAGTGAGGGGCGATATGATCGAGGCGTATAAATGGAAGTCAGGGTTAAACAAGGGTGATATAACAGAGGTACTTAAACTATCCAACCAGGAGCGAACTCGTAACAATGGTTTTAAATTACACAAATTTAGATTTAGGCACGAGATAGGTAAACATTGGTTTGGAAATAGAGTAGTGGATGAGTGGAACACGTTACCAAACATCATCATTAACTCGAACACTCTGGACAGCTTCAAACGTAGGTTGGGTGGATATATGAGCAATAAGGGTTGGGTGTAAACAGGACTGCCCACTATGGGTTAATAGGCCCGCTGCAGTTTCCTCCATTCTTATGTTCTTAATGGTCCAGTACACAAAGTCTTCACGTCATACAAACACCACCTAAGATAATTCAATTTCGTCCAGAATCTGTTATTTCAGCAGTACATTTAGTGACATATTTGACCATCACAGTAAAAGAGTATACAGTAAATGTTACAAACAACTTTCATTACTCGTCTAACCCAAGAACGTTTTTAACACTCAATTATTCAGAAAGGTCTTGTGAGAAGACTGAACTCAAGGTACAACACGGTACTTGTATGTCACCATGATCATCAACACTCATTCATTGTTCGCGGTGCAAATAACCCCCAAACAAAACATTCCAGCTATTCAGAATTCCATATTTGTAATACGGTGTCTTATCCCAGAGTACACGCGAGTCTTTTTTCTCTTCGTAGGTTTTCGTCAGTTTGTGGCAGAGACGACGTTACTGTGGGAGGAGGTGACGACTGACAGGTTGTTGTGGAGCTCCGGCCCACTCTACGTGTTGCACTACGAACACCTCCTCCAGAACACCACCCATCACCTTCGCCATCTCCTCCACTTTCTCAGGTTACACCGTTATTGTTGGCTTCTCCAGGGTATCATTGTTTAATACCATAGTTATATGCAAAGTGCCATTGTCCAATATGAGAGAAATACACACGCCTCCCCCCAGGGTATCATTGTATTAGACCATCATAATAACACCTCCTCCTCTCCTTCCCCAGGGTACAGAAGGACGAGGGACGGATGGCCTGCGTCTCCACTCACCTGACAGGGTCGTTCAAGCGTTCAGGCAACAACAGCAACTTCGATCCCTTCACGAAAGACGAGAAGATGAGGATGACCAGTGCTGTGAAGAGAGTCAACCGCCTCCTATTACTGCTGGGCTACCCCCAACCTCCTGTTTACGAAGGGTTCCTTGTACCGACCAGTCTATAGAATATAAGGTCTGCTCACGCATCAAAGAAAACGGAACCTCTAGGAGCTCGTGACGTCATTTGTGCTCACCCTTCTTTGGTCGAGATCACATATTATACCGACTAAATTTAGCCTCGGTAATTGTCTTCCTCACATACACACACACACACACACACACACACACACACGAGGGGGACAGCAGCCGACAGAGAGGAAAACATTCTATATTAAATATCACACACACACACACACAACGGTTGCCCCTCGAGTAACGAGGATGGTCGGCCCAAGGGCCACCTAGGCGTAAATTTGTTTAAGGTGTAAAAGTTGTCGCCAACACAACAACCACACCCTGAGATAACGAGCTGAGTGACCAGTGTCAAAAAATAGTCCGAGAAGACCGAACAACTCGTCAACAGCACTGGCTAACCATTACCCCGGAATAATATAGGCAAATCGATTAACATCCAGGTCCCCAATTACTGCTGGGTAGACAGAGGCAAATGGTGTAAGAACATAAGAAAATAAGGAGTCTGCAATAGGCCGGTTGGCCTGTGCATGGCAGCTCCTGTCGAGAGTTACTACCACTCTCTATCATCCAAGAATCTATCTAGCCTCCTTTTGAAACTTTCCAACGTTCCAGCACTTGCTACAAAGTTGCTAAGCTTGTTCCACTCGTCCACCACCCTATTTGTGAACCAGTTTCTTCCTATCTCCCTCCCAAACCTAAACTTATCCAACTTAAATCCGTTGCTCCGAGTCCTATCCTGCTCGGATATTATAAGAACTTTATCTACATCCCCTTTATTGATTCCTTTCACCCACTTAAATACTTCTATCATATCTCCCCGCACTCTTCGTCTTTCTAGGGAATGCAAGTTAAGTTTCTTTAACCTATCCTGATATGGAAGGTTTCTAAGTCCCGGAATCATTTTTGTCATTCTTCGCTGCACCGACTCAAGTGAATTTATATCCATTCTATAATAAGGGCACCAGAACTGAACCGCATAATCGAGGTGCGGCCTGACTAGCGCAAGATATAGTTGCAATAAGACCTCTGCACTCTTGTTACTTACACTTCTAGATATAAAACCCAATACTCTGTTTGCCTTATTTAGAACATTAACGCACTGTTTTCTAGGCCGTAGGTCCGGGCTTACAAGTACCCCTAGGTCTCTTTCACAAGTCGACTTCTCTTGGTTGATGTTGTTAAGGCTGTATACATTATCAGTATTTGTTCTTCCAGTATTAAGTACGCTGCACTTGCTGGTGTTGAATTTTATTTGCCATTTTCAGACCACCCCTGCAGTTTATTTAGATCCTCCTGTAATGCATTTGCATCCTGCCCTGAATTAATCTGCCGCCCTATTTTGGTGTCATCGGCAAACTTGCTTATGTCACTGCTGATCCCATAGTTTCACCCTGCCAGGGGATCGAACCCGTGTGTGTGTATGTGTGTGATGTAAATGTTGAATCGGTTCTTGAGATGGTATCTACTTCCTGTTTAGTGTTACATTCTTACAGTGACAAACGTTACATAATGTTAACTTGCATATTAGTGACTACGTAACGTGTGCATAGTGTCCTAACATAATATTACCTGCACACTAAAGAGGGGTAGTCACTATAAATAATTTTATCTTATTAGCAAAGGCAGTTAACATTATGTAGATGCAGTCCCTATTAACAATTAACGCAACAACAAAAAATATATCGAATTATTTCCTCTTCTATAAACTGACCAGCAGGAAAAGTTCCGTCGGTCTATACCTATTGTCCACAAATATTAACAACAGGGAACCAGTCTACTACAGTCGGACCCTCGGAATTTACTTTTATCCTACTCCAATGCTGGTCAAGTCTGGTCTTGAAACAGCTCACACTTTATGCTGTCAAAACACTCTGGCAGTGGCAGATTGTTCCAAAAATGTGAAGGTTTTAGATGGCGAATGTGGTATTTAAAGGGAATAGCCTGGCTCTCTCCTCTGGGTTTGAAAGTGAATTGGTTAGATATAAAAGGAGTAGAAATAGCTAACGAAGGATAAACTGAGAGAAAAGAGTCAAAGAGAATATAAAAAAAATACGAGGATGAGGACAGACTGAAACGAGACGTGGGAGATGGAGAGGAGTGAATCTACAGGGGCATTAGATTTATCAGTGGAAGGTCAGAGTCGAGATTTCAACGCATTTCAGATACCTATCCTAGAGCTCTCTCGAACGATTTCAGCAACAGAAGCGTCGGCAGCCCAAGCATAAAGCCGTACTGGTATTGCTCCACATGGTTATTTCGTGGTCTCAGTAAGTTGATCAACCAAGGATAAACCAAGAATGACATTAGAAGCTTCTTATCTCCACTTGTATTAACAGTATATGTGTGTAAACGTGTAATATGGGAGGTGCAGTACATTAGGAGAATGTCCCCTGCAACGAACGTATCATTTTCTCTGGTTCTAGATTTATAAAGTCCTTGTTTCAGAGATTGTCAAGTGAAAATTAAAAGAAATTTGACCTTATCTCTTGCCCTTTAAGGTAAATTCCTTTGACAGTCCATGCAATGAGCTCTCAGAACCTTTAAGATATTATTGTCTCTGCTCGCCTTGGGTGAGGATACAGACCTATCTGGCAAGTATCTGAGGCGGGGGATGACCCGCACTTCTTTTCCTTCAACACTATTGCCTTGATTGTTCCACTGTCAGGGACCTCCTACCATATGGAGAGTCACTAAACACATTTTTTTTTTATTGGGCACTCCCCTACATCCTTGTGAAGCACAGAAGCGTTTACAGCGCCCAACAGAGAAGCATGCTAAGTTCATGCTTGCCTTTATGTCTCATGAGTTAAGGGCATAGAAGCCTGAAGAGTCAAGGGCATAGAAGCCTGAAAAGTCAATGGTTTATGTCATCAAGTTATTGGAAGCTCCAACAACTTATCCCTGAATACGAATTCGCAACTTTCGACTTACACCAGGTACCTACTTTACTGCTAGGTGAACAGGGACTAATGGGGGCTAGGAAGTATGTCCAAACAACTTCCACCGGCCCGGGAATCGAACCCGTGACATCTCGCTTGCGAAGGCAAGAGCGGTACCACTCTACCACCAGCACCCAGACTTAACACATTGTCATCACCTACTTATACATAACAATTTAGATTTAATTCTTGTACGCTGCCCACGCTTTGATGGGTGCTAACTCCCATTGTCCTCAACTCACATCAATGTCTCTATCACAAGTCATAGCGTGTTCTGTGAGACACGGGCACCACTGTATTAGTGTCTTGTGACTAAACTTGTCGCCCCTCGGATGTAATAAATTAATTAAATAATCTGTACCATGACTGGCAAATGCTCTGTAACAGCAAAATGTAAGATTGCTGTACTGTACAGTAGCACGAGCGATACAACAGCCCTAATCACAGCTATTGTGTGAATATCACTTTCATGGATAATGACAAACATGTCATCGTGACATCAGAAGACCCCATGTGACGTCAAGATGATATCAGGGGAACCCAAATTAACCAAACCCATCGGTTGCAATGTTGACCAATCTATTACAATTATGCGCAATGTTGTACAACTGGTTGCAATGTTACACAACCAAGATACTATCAGCTGCAATGTTGCTTAGGTTATGATAAACCTCATTACGCTGTTTTCAATAGAAAATATTAAAATATAAAACATAATTAGATACAATTATCTTATAAACTGCAGCTGTGTTTGTTTATGTTCTAGCAGGTAAGATGAAGTTGATCAATGTGTATTCAAACGATCAAGCTTTGCAACGTGAAAGGAGATACCGATGTACTCATCACAATGGTACTACATGCTAGTTATCTTTAAGTGGACTATGGTGCGGATTAGTTGAAGTATGAGTCAAAAAGCCAATTTACAAAAAAATAAACAAAATAAAAGGCTGGGTCATTGTGTGCTTCACCTCAATACAGACCGTATCCGGTACCCCGCTCTAATAAATATATGTAATAATAATCATACTGCACCTATTACTGACATTATGATCCAACAGAAAGTGCAGCTCGTACATTACACCATGCAACAATAACAAACGGTGTTGCCAGACGCACGACACGCCGTGACCACCTTGGTGCCGCTAGCTGCCATGGAGTATATGAATGAACCAACCAAAAGTTAAAGTTAGTGTGCCTCGTAGCGTGGAAGGGTGAAGTAATGTCTCTCTTGTGCGCAGGTGTAGATCACTGGCATATAACATTAATTTTACGAAAAGTGACTGATGTGCCATAATCGTTTTTCTTAAAGGGTTAAAGACGATATATATATATATATATATATATATATATATATATATATATATATATATATATATATATATATATATATATATATATATATATATATATATATATATATATATATATATATATATATATATATATATATATATATATATATATATATATATATATATATATATTGTATATATATATATATATATATATTTTTTTTTTTCAGTATAGCGCAACGAAACAGCAAGATAATTTGTGTTTTAAAATGAAATAAAATAAGTTATTTAACACACCCAACAGCACACCTAACAACAAACAAGACAATGCACATTACAACTCACAACAACAACACGAGAGACCAAGAAATATTATATGAAAGATAAACAAGAAGAATGATTAAGGAAAAATGATAATAAAGCATGGGGACAATATTCTGGTGTGCCTCACAGGTAAGTGGCGATCACGTGAATATTTCTAATACAACAGCGATATTGTCGTTACTTGTGAGAGATATCGGATTTTAAACAAGTGAGTACAATGTATTACAACGGCGAAATTGTCCTCACTTGAAGGATACCTCGCACATCAAGTGAGGGCAATTTTGGTGTAATACGCGATCCCTAAGAAAATCGGTAATGACTAGTGTGTTTACATTTTTATGAGAAGTTCACTTACGAAGCGTGTGTGAAGATCTGTGAAACTGTTGATGCTAACCCGATTTTGGTCTCACGTTCAGGTTTAAGAAATCCCTAAATCCTTGACATGGAAAGTTATAAGAACCTGCGGTACTATGAACGCTAAGGTGATTTCAAAGAAGAGTTCAGGTGTAAGAACTCTCTGAACGCTATTATTTCTGATGTGGAAAGTAATCTGGGAGGAGTGTGATCTGTGACACCACGACCGTCAACACTCCTCTGTACGCCTGATATACATCCATTGGTGTTGGCGTCTGGTAAGCGTTGACCAGACGGCAGGAGAACCTCGGGAGTAACACGACAGAGACGCCGTCAATTGCCGGCACCATGAGAGAGGTGAGTCAATGTTTTGCGTATGTGTGATTGTTAACTTTTACACCTAAGACAATAGTTCCCAGCACAGATTCGCCCACGGTCTCCACAATTAATAAATAATAAGGTTCATTGTTAACTATCTTACTAGCGAGCTTGTCTCCATATTAGTATTTCTTCAGCATGATTGGGATGACTTGGGGTTGAGGCGCTGTGTCGTCTCGCTATTTGAGAATATTGGAATGAGCAGCGAATAATTATGTGGTCGGGTGCCTCTTTCAGCATTTTGCCGTGTTCTCTTTTCGGAAGTGACGCAGCGGGTGATATCCAGAGTACCAGAAATATTACGCGCACGAAAGGCTAACCCACACACGAAACTTTCTGAAGCAATAATTACATGCTTAATATATATGTGAATACTTATTCGCTTTGGGATCACATGTAGATTACACACCAGAGTATATTTTTCCTTAACGCTAACCTATTCCAACCTAACCTAACACCTCCAGGTAGCATTAGGGTGTTTAATCAACAGGTGAAATAAGTTGGGGTGCCTAATCGTTAACATACGCTCACTGCAGAGGGACAACCCATCCTGGCTCATAACAAACACTTGTATCGGAAAACAATAACTAATTATCTTCCACAATATTTCCACACATGATATGATTCCTTTATGGTACAGTAAAGTAAAATTGGATTCCACAGGGGCAACGCGGATACCAGTATATGTAGAGTTGTAGACTAAGCCCTTCTTTACCGGTACTGCATGGGCGCATTGTAACAGCTAATCTAAAGTTGCAACATGCACTACGAGGAAGAGATCAGCAGTTACACTTGAGATTCACCATCACCTTATGGATAATTAGCCCCCCAAGTGAGTATATACAACTTCGTGCTGCTGACGTGAGACACGAATCTTAAAACACCTGTGTAGCTCACAACTTGTGAAGACTATTAACAACTTTATGCTTCGCTAGAGTGGAATATAACACTGTCTTTTTTATCTACTAAAACAGTGATAACTTAATAGTCTTGTTTATCCTCTAGAACAGTGCTAAAATAAGTAATGGTCTTGCTAATTATGTGACCATTGGCAGGACGTCAACCACTTTGTAAACACTGAAACCAAGACGAAACCTCCTACAGCCGAGACAAGCAGAACGAGATTACTTTTAGATTAACCTTCAGCTTATTTCACCAGATAGTTAGCCCCTCCAGATTTTCTCACCTGAAGATTTGTCCCCTCAGCTTATATCACCTTGAGATTAACCAATGTAATCCTAACCTAATCTAACCCCAGGTAGCGTTAGGGTGTTTATTCTTCAGGTGATCCCACCACAACAACTAACCTCGTCGAAAACGTCCACATCTGAAGCACTTACACACCTGCATTACCTACAACACACACCTGCAACACTGACAACACACGGTGACAGTGATAAAAGCAAGAGGTTCACTATCAGAACATCACCCATACATTTTCCAACAGGCTAACTACAGGAGGACGAATGATGTCAACAGAGGAATAATTTGACCAAGGGATCCAAAGAGTTCCTCTCCTGTACTCTTTAAGTCCCGCATATTCAGGTTCGAGTGAGTTGGTGGTATTTTCTATCGTCTCGTGAATTTGGTATGGTGAATGGAATGTATTGATCTATTTCGATTTCTCTGTGTGTAGCTTTGAAAATATTCTCAGTTGCTTTTCGGTGTTTGAATTTGATGTCAGAAGTGAAGGTATTGTTTAAAATGGAGTTAAAGTCATAGGTAAAGTTAGAATTAAAGGTAGTCAATATTATTCGTTTTTATCTTCCTCTTTCTGGAGTCGAGTTTCTGTAACCAGGGCCAAAAAAAATTAACGAATGACATCAAGAAGCGATCTCACTTTTCTTTTCTTAACTTTTTATTTAATTCACTTTCTTTTCTCTCAGTAACCAATGACTTGTTTGAGGTTGGTGGATGTAAGAAGTTGGTCCCGGAGTTGTCGTCAGCTGAGGCCAAGTTTTTCTTATAGGTTGTTTTTTCTTGTTTTTTTTTAATGATTTCAGTGGACTGCTTTCCCCAATTCACAGCAGGGGGGGGGGAGTAGTCACCTACACACACACACAAAAGTAATAAACAACTAAAAACAAACCCTTTTAACACGATGATGTTTACTTTTTAAATTTACGTCACACGTCCATCAGCTGCTGAGTGTGTGTGTGTGTGTGTGTGTGTGTTGCCATGGTGAGAGTCGTCATAATCCCGTCACCAGTCAACAGACATACGGAACGGGTTGACAAGGTCGATCAAGGAGAAGTTTCTCTACGCCATCTGTCTACGGAAGCAAATGTAGACCATATGTACCCTGCAATTAGGAAGGGTTTTTGAATGTATGGGTTTGTTTACGTTCCCGGGAAGTGTCTCGTGTAACAGCGGACTGAGATAGGGAGGTAAGATTAAAAGGATGTATCATACACTTGTCACAGGATAAAATATAAATTACGTCATAAAAAAGGACAAATAGTTATGTAATATTAAAAAGTGGAGTAGCTATATAAATACAAACGAGGAACTATACACAAACAAGGAACTGTATACAAACAAGGAATTCTATACACAAACAAGAAGCTATAATACCAAAAAATAACAATAAAATACAAAAGTTATTTACACGAAAACAACCAGTCATGTAAATACTACAGAAATTATTGATGTTACACAGAACGGAAAGTAAAGATGAAATGTCCCCTGGCACGAATTTGATGATGGTGATGGATAAAGGCACTTAAGAACTGTTACTGCGTCAACATGTGAGGTATCAGAGAATGTCTATACGTACTGGTATATTGGTGAGTCGGTGACGCTGGTGGTGTGAGCTTTATGTGTCGGGAGTGTACTGCACAGGTAGTGGATGTAGTATGTAAGAATTAGTGATGTCTAACTAATCTATTAACATTCTTTTCATCAGTTTTCGAATCGGTGGACGAGGGGCACAATTATGATGTGGTATATCTCGACTTTAGCAAAGCCTTCGACAGAGTCCCCCACGAAAGACTAATTAGAAAGGTAGAAGCACATGGCATCAAAGGTAATATCCTTAATTGGATTAGGGCGTGGTTACAGGACAGGAAACAGCGAGTGAGCATTAATGGCACTAAGTCCCATTGGAGCAACGTCACAAGTGGAGTTCCCCAAGGCTCAGTACTTGGACCATTGTTATTTATTATATACATAAACGACATAGATATCGGCACAGACAGCAACATAAGCAAATTTGCTGATGACACTAAAATAGGAAGTGTTATTAAATCTGACAGGACTCTGCAAAACTACAGGAAGATCTAAACAAATTTTTCGAATGGTCTGAAAAATGGCAGATGAAATTCAACGTGGACAAATGTAAAATACTCAGTATAGGAGATGTAAACAGGGAAACCAGATACCAGATGAACAACGATGCCATAGAGAAATCCGACTGCGAGAGAGATTTAGGAGTAATGATAAGTAGGAACCTTAAGCCAAGTAAACAATGTGTTTTTGCTCGTAACAAGGCTAATAAAGTACTTGGGTTCATACAAAGGAGTGTTAGTTACAAGACTAGCGAGGTCATCCTAAAACTGTATCTTGCTCTTGTGAGACCACACCTGGATTACGCAGTTCAGTTCTGGTCACCGTATTACAGAATGGATATAGAATCCTTGGAAAGAATTCAGAGGAGAATGACAAGACTAATCCCGGGCATTAGGAACCTTGAGTATAGAGACAGGTTAAAGCATCTTAATTTGCACTCCCTCGAGAGACGTAGAGCGAGGGGCGACCTGATAGAGGTGTATAAGTGGAAGGCAAGGCTAAACTAAGGGGACATTACAAAGGTACTCAAACTATCCAACCACAAATTTAGATTTAGGAGTGAAATAGGTAAACACTGATTTGGAAACAGAGTAGTGGATGAATGGAACAAGTTACCAAATATCATCATTAACTCGAATACGCTGAATAGCTTCAAACATAGGTTGGATGCTTATATGAGCAATAGGGGTTGGGTGTAAAAGGGACTGCCCAGTATGGGCCAATAGGCCCGCTGCAGTTTCCTCCATTCTTATGTTCTTATGTTGTTTGTCCTCAAGTTACAGGACATACACACTCATAACACCATGTATGATGTATAACAGTATTTGGTGCAGGAATGTCGTTGGTTATTTAAATTTAGTAACGAGATCCAATGAGATGTATCAGCGATGGATTAATTTCAGCTGAGCAAGTGAAGGGAATGTTATATTGACGTCAATTATATTTGAAACATTAAATATTAAAGGCGTTTTACACTTCCTAGAAAGTTGTTGTGAACGAGGCATGTGATGTATTTCTCCAGTCTTACGTTTGTGTGTGTGTGACGTGTGTAACCAGCACGTTGTTTGGCGAAAATTACTTTAGATCTTCACTTCATGTTGTGTGAATCGACCAACCGGCCACTAGAGGACTCAACACCTAAAAATTACAGTTATTTACTAGTGAGACACGTCCGTGTGTTTTGCAACCAATCTAAAGTGACATTGTTGTTCATCACCTAAACTACTGTACGTTATTGGAGTAAGAAGGAGACAAACGACACTTTAGCAATGATTAACTGTGGGACCTACTTTCGTTTTCTACAATACCAACATGGAGGAGCGACCTAACACCTTACACACACTCACAAATCTGAACCTAATTCTAGATGTGGTTAATTTGGGGATGAAGTGTCAAGATATTCTGAATTACCATCACATCTTTCAAGTCCAAAGTTTTCATGGGATGCTTCGTGTAACTATAAATAGAAATCAGTGCTTCACCTATAAAAATAGAGGAAGATAGATAGATATTTGTTAGAGAACTGCCATAGATCTCAGCCTACAAAGAGGCAGGGAGAGCCGCCAGTAACATGCAAAGGTAATGCTTAGGTGTTACGTGTGGTCATCTCTGGTTGTGGTGTGGGCGAAAGTATAAAGTAGGTACGAGTCGTCTACCGTCGGATGGGGTAATATTAGGTTGTTGTCGTCGTGTCGTATCATCAACGGTTGGTCCTGACATAACTGTTGTAAGAGTAGTAGTGGTGAAGAATGAGGGAGGAGTGGCGGAGAGGGTTATGGTGGAGGAGGATGGAGTGGAGGAGAGGCTGGAGGTGGAGGAAGATGGAGTGTAGGAGCGTGGGTGGAGAAGAAGGAAAGGTTAGTGTTGTGGAGGCTGCGAACATTATTCACCGGAGCAGCACAAGTTAGACCAACACTCCCACCTATTTTCCCTCGTTAATAACATTGTTTGCGTCAGCTGCAGCTAAATTCACCGTGATATTGAGGCCAGAATGATGTTGATACTCAGCAATCTTATAAGTATGTTACTAATTACTGTGTTGAAGGTTGTTTCTTGCTTCCGTGTGCTTGTGTATGTACTGTATGTATGCTTGTCACACACACACACACATATATATATAAATATATATATATATATATATATATGCTGATAACCACAAGGAAACAAGAAAACACGAAGTTCCCAAGCGCTTTCGTGTAATTCACTCTCCTCTACTGTACAGTAGAGGAGAGTGTAATGTAAAATCATGAAACGTGAACCTTAACCCTCACACTGAAGCAGTCAACGAACCTGTCCAGCATTTACTGTTTGTTACCTCTACTCCCAGGATCTTACAAGTACTGATACATTGTTAAGTTACCAATCCCATCTCCATCTTTTATATTGTACGTAGATATTTTAGCCATTAAACTATTAAAATGCTGTATGCTTTCACAAAACCATAAACCAAAGCTGCACTTAAATAATGAAGGCTTTAGCGAATTGTTACTGAACCCATAAGCATTTTTAGTATTGTGTGTGTGAGTGTCATTTGGCTCTCCTGTGCAACATTGCAATACTCCTTAGTTTGTACTCACCCCTGAAGGTGTGAATTACACGAAAGCGCTTGGGAACTTCGTGTTTTCTTGTTTCCTTGTGGTTATCAGCATATATATATATATATATATATATATATATATATATATATATATATATATATATATATATATATATATATATATATATATAAGAACATAAGAACATAAGGAGTCTGCAATAGGCCGGTTGGCCTGTGCATGGCAGCTCCTGTCGAGTTACTACCACTTTCTATCATCCATGGATCTATCCAGTCTCCTTTTGAAACTTTGCAGCGTTCCAGCACTTACTACAAAGTTGCTAAGCTTGTTCCACTCGTCCACTACCCTATTTGTGAACCTATTTGTCTTAAAGGTGTGGGCGTGTATGTGGGTGTCCCTGTGGGCGGCGGCGGCGGCGGTGGAGTGGGCGGACGTGGGTGTTCTGTTGTCCGGCGTCAACACGATTTCATCCAATGATGTCGATCACCCTCACCTGAACGTCACCAGCGCAGGTAACTCTCCTCCCCCCATCCCCTCACCTGACTACCTCATTTTTGTCATCCCGTCCTATCCACTTCCTCCTTAACAATAACCTAACCCCCCAGGCAGCGTTAGGGTGTTCAATTATTGGGTGAAATAAACTGAGGGTGTTTAATAGTCATGTGATCCCTCATATCTACAACAATTCAAGTCCGCCTAACTTTCTGCTGTTGTAGTGGGTGACAAGAATAGGGGATTACAAGTCTTTGGGGACTGCGGTACACGTTAATAGAGGCGTTAACTTTTCTCGCGTATGGCAAGGGTGAGTGGTGAGCCCGTCTCCCACACACACAAGTTACGAACAGCTTTCCCCTGGCAAACATAAACAAACTTTCTATAATACATATCGAAAATCACTAGCACTGTTAATATATTATTCATGTGGATTTACAGAGAATGTTTTCACGAGATTTAATAGGAAGTAGTTTGTCATTAAAGGCATCTTGTATGTTCATCGTGCATTCACCCCCCAGAGCAGCGGTGGTGGCACGACGGGTCGGTGGTACCCAGGCAAGAAGTCGCGACGAAGGGTAAGTCTCCTTCAATCGTCACCATACACCTCTTGCCTGCCTTAACCACGCTATACCGCTGTAATGATGGTGTGGGTCGGCCTTTTACCGTGTTGTGGTGGCGGTCGTTGGTGTTAAATATGAGTTGCGGATAAGATTTTTGGCTTTGTACATATACAGCATATTGGGGGAGATACTGTACGTGATGCAAGAACTGCTTTCGGCATTCATCCTAGCTCTAATAATGGTTTTGTCTCTGACCAAACCGACTGAACGTAACACGCACACTTCCGACAAATAGTAGGTTTTACTGTGAGAATGAAGTCATGGAAACTGCACACACTTGCACATTGTCTCAAACACACTCAAACGTCTACTGTATTAATTGCCAGTTGCTTAAACAAAGGAAACTTTAACTTATTCTTTGGATATATATTATTATTTTTTTTTTTTTTTTAAGACAGGCGTACAAACAGTCGGGGCCACAACGATGATTCACACTCAATTGTTTTCGTCAGTCAGTATTGTAGTGGACTTGGTTACCTGTACAGACCTTATTGTGGTCAAGGTTCAGGGGTGTGTGACCTGCTGTATATAGGGAAATATCTTAATTCTAAAGGGTAAACGAAAGTTATATAGCCCTTTGGTAACTCACAACTCGAAAAATATCAGATTGTGTGTAAATTATGTTGTTTGGCATATCATTCCCAGCCGTCGGCAGTAACTTCAGGCCGAGAATAGCCAAGTCTTTTAACCAACATTTGTGTGATATACGACGGGTTGTTGGAGGGCGTTACGTGAACGATATAAAAGATAAACGATTTTCAACAGAATGTCTAACACAAATCTTTACAACAAACAAAAAAGCGAAGGAGAAGACTTACATATAATAAATCAAACTTAATACTCTTGTAAAAGTTACGACTCAACAATGAAAGAGGCGCCTCGACCAATCAGATTCAGTCCCTTACAGTATACACCAAACTGATGTAAACAAAAAGTAAAAGAACAATCACCAAACCTGTCAACGTGGCTGGCAGACCTCCTCAACACCACCACCAGGAACCCCTTCCACAGGAGCAGCTGACCTCCACCAACTGCAATGAGATATACTTATTTAAAACATACCGAGAGTCAAACTAACATCATACATGACAGATCTTGCCCTAGAGTTCTATAAAGGTAAATAACTCGTTACCTGCAATATCATGTACAAAAAATCAAACATTCTAACGACGAAATCAACTAAATTGTTGTCAAGGTGCAAAGACAATTGGACACTTTGAACGATTATTTTTTCCAAAATTTTCCAACTTAGTTCATAATCACAATCTTATTAAAACACCGGACATTTAACGAATCAGCATATTTGGACCTATTGTATTAACTGGTTGTATTTGTTAGTTGCTGGAGTGTGTTGATGTAGAGTTTGTAGACAATTCTGTACCATAAACAGTTTGCTTTGCTTCGAAACTTAGAAGTAAATAGAAATTGGGAGCTTCACTAGGCTAACACAATTGCTTCTAATTAATACCTGATTATCCGCTTCTCCCATAGACATCACTAACCATTACAGTCGTTTACTACAACAAATAGCATCAATAAGGTAAAGGATGTCCTCTTTGTTCCTTCGTATTTTGAATATTTTTGTCTCGTTATTCCAGATAGATCAGTTTTGGATACAAATCTAATCTTCAATGGATTAAAAAATATATAAATGTTAACCTTTAATTACAAACTACAGGAAAACAAGACTGTAATTAGACACTAGCATAATCTGACACTCGTACACTATGTCCGCCTCATCTCCTCACTCCACACAGATATAAGCAATTTGAAGGCCCAGATGAGGATCAAGCGGCGGCCATATTTACGACGAGATCCTATTGAAATGGCTGGACTCCTCGAGGGCGACATCCTGCCTGCCCCGACTCATACTAACTCCCCCAACATGAAGGTGAGGCTTCTCGACTTCTTCTTGCATCTTACATGTTACTCGACGAAGACTATTCATTATGTAAACTATGACAATGTAAATCGTGATACAGAGGTGTGGTTGGTTCTCACGGATGTTGTACCAAAGAAATGTGATTTTCATATTACCTGACGCACTGTGTATTCATCTCCTTCGCACACTTCTTGGTTCATTCCCTCACACACACACACACACACACTGGTTCACTCACCCTCCCTCACATACTAACACCTAGATGTTTGTATACTGCAGGAGGCCCAGGAGAAGAACGCGGTGGTGGATACGGGACGACTCTGGCCAGGGGGTGTTGTGCCCTATCAGTTCTCCCCTGAGTTTAGTGAGTTCTTTGGTGCCTGTCCCCTGTCAGGTGTTTAATTGTCATCTGTACACATATCCTACACCTGCAGCGTTTACACATGTCAATTATACACCTGCAGTGTGTGTTCGTATGTCACGTAGGATATTTATGTGGCGCTTGTTACGTGTTTACATTCCCTGTAGCTATTGCTGAGCCACAAGTCACCTCCATTAGTTGCTCTTTGTCAGTATCCGTAGCCATAGACGTAAATAGATATACACAGAAACAGAAACATAGATATAGATAGATAGACAAAAAGATGGATACACCTATTGCTAAATAGATAATAAAGGTATGAATGGATAATAAAGACACACACTATAGTAAATAACGACAGAATGCAAATTGGACGATGAGAGCTATTTGGAAGAATGTGCACAAAGAGAGAGTTGATAAAACATGTGAACGGATAAGTGGTTAAGACACGCAATAAAACACAAGAAGGAAAAAGACATATATTAGTCTTGAAGTGAGATAGACTACGGGAATTATAATGGTCATCTCAATAAAGAAAACGATAATTGATGAATTTGAACTATGGGGTAACTGAAGGAAAGAAGGTAACAGATGGAATGAGAAATGTATGGAGAGGCAGAAACGTATCTAAGATGTTAAACATGAGGATGTGGAAGGAATGAATGAGGTTACATTATCAAGTAAGTTTGGTTGCAAGACGAAGCAGTAAATTAGAAACGATAGAAATCACTAGATGTGATATTAAATACAGAAATATGGATAAGACACGAAAGTGGAAAAATTGTTGGGCAGAGAATGGACCAGAATCAATTTAGGTGGTAAACATACACGTATTGAGAGAATGGAACTGAGGAAGTGTGTTAAAAAGTGTTGTACGATTCAAGTAGATGGTGCAGCAGGAGGGAGAGAAGAAGACCAATTGGGAGATGGGGTAAATGATACATAAAAAGAGAAGGTAGTAAATATCCAGGAAGCAGCAGTGAACGCCAATGACTAGACAGCATCATGATGACGAGTTTTTTTTTTAGTTTAAGAAATGTATTGACAAAGCTTGTAGTACAGTTTGCCTATTCTGAGTAATTCAGTCAGGTCTTGACACTGAGGGTGGTATCACGAGTGATACTTAGTGGGGAAGACCGCACTGGTGCTGGGTGTGAAGCAACAAAGGAAAAACAAATTTGGGGTTCTTGTTACTGAGAGGGAAACGCCATACCAGAACACATTTTTTACAGCACTACGAATAAATGAAAGGAAAAGATGTGTTTGTATCAAGCTTTTAGTACACCATTAGAATGAACCAATGTTGAAATCACTACAATAACCACCAACGTATAGTCGCAGTTAGGGGAGGTATCTAGGTTATACTGTCGTAGCTGCACACCTGAGATGATATTAACCGCCAAGTATTATTCACATATATCATTATTAACCGATGAAAAAGACTAATTATATTTGCTATACCAATGAGCCATAACCTCTCTGAAGCCTCCCCCCCCCCCTTCCTTTTCTCCAGGTGAAGATTGAGTTAGGCTTCAGTTCCTCCACTACATTCATACTTTAACCAATCTTCTTCACATCTACTAGCAGGCGCCTTTGACTTTTGTGGAGATCGAGTGTACGTTTCTATCACAACAGCTTCTACAACCTATCCTTCCCTACTTCTGTTTCGTCCCCGTCAATATACATTTAACTCGCTGAAAAACCTGCACTGTTTGGTTCCATAATTTCTTCTTTTCTTTAGACGATTCCAACGCCCTCGATCCTCCTTCACCGCCTCTTTCTGAACCTGTGTCCTTCCCTATTTCCTCCTCCCGCAAGGTCTATCATGTCCTCTGTTCCTCGAGGCAGAATATATTTTATGCATTACTATTCCCTACAGCCAGTTAAAGAACTCCATTACAAATCCCATATTCAGTAAAGGTTATTATTAATTCTCTTTACTTATCAAACCAAATGAATAGACGAGCTTAAGGATAAATATATCGTAGAGCTTGGCGGTGAAGGTGATATTATGTGTTGCTAGCGTTGCTGCCCCTGGAGAGGTACCTCATACGTCATGTCATGGCTGACATCAGTGCCAGCTCCTGTGCCACCTTCCGAGAGAGGACCTCAGAGCCAGACTTCATCAAGATCATCTTTGACCAACAGAGGTGAGTTAACATCTTCAAATCACCTGAAGATTAGACACGGCAGCTTTTTTCACATTATGATTAAACACCCTAACTTAACCCAACCCAAACTAACCTAACCTTACCTAATCTAACAAACAAACCGGACCAAACTCCCCAGGTAGCGTTAGGGTATTTACTCATCAGGTGAAATAAGCTTGGGGAGCTCATTTTCACGTGGTCCTTATGACTACTGACGATGATGTAGGTGAGTTCCTCGTCTCACCTCCCAACTGGCCATCACATAGGATCCTGAGGTGGTTCTTAGAGTCTATAGGCTCACATAACCTGGTGACCATTGACCTCCAGCAGACCAGACAAGCACAAGTATGTTGCCTCTACTACCAACGGGACCACAAATATGACGTTCTTAGTCACACAGGCCGTTAATACTATCCTTGGTAAACAAAGCCTCAAATCGACCAAAGGCATCATAGTCTCGCTTCGCTGGTGATGTCGGCATTTAAGTCCAATCACAACATCACCATTTAACCAAACTAAACCAATGACAGAGTTTGCACAAAGTTAAACGGCATAATGGCTAATTGTCGAGATTTTAACCCAAGTCCAAAGTCGAAAACGTCAGAAATTCACTAAGTCCAACGTGAGAGACCGGAGGGGAGGGAAAGTGAAGGGTAGGTGAGGTGAGGGAGGGGTTGAGGGGGGAGTACCTGTGTGAACTAGTGCCATATGGTGACTCCAGAGGATGGAGGGCTACGATAATGGGGCCACAATTACGCACATACTATATAACTGACGTCTTTTTTGTGACGGTTCCTATATAATCGCCATGCTGATGACGCGACTGAGAGGTATTGTACTATACATTGTGATGAGGGAGAAAGGAAAACTGGTGAGGTAGAATGAGGCAGAAGGGTACTTTGGTGAAAGAGAGTGAGGGAGAGGTGTAATGGCCCATGTTTCATAAACATAAGAATTATATAAATGGGTTAATTACATTTGATTTATATACTGATTCATCCCCTGTAACTTTCCACTGGCCATGAGGTGACATGTTCAATGCACGTGATAAGGTGTGCCCACGGGAAGCTGCGTCATACTATGCTGAGTAAAGGCATAAAGTAGCCAGCTCCTGGCCACCTAAAGCAGGCAGTAGCTTGATATCCTTGACTAGAGGAAGACGTTATTTGAGAGCCACAGTGGATGGCTCTGTCTTCCCTCGAGGGAGGACGACGTACCTATTCCGATCTCCCTCGATGGGTCACTACTCAAAGTCTCACTCAAACTAATATCGAACGGACGTTGATTCACGTCTAGTTACATAGGCGCCGTCCCTATCTCACCACACTCATAAATAGTGGAACTTACGGTTGATCTACACTCAGGAATTATACAAATAATACTTTTTAATAAAAGAAGAAACTTCAATTGGGTTTCGTTACTAAGGCCCAATATAATATATGTGTACCAACCTGGTTAACTTGGAATTAACCAGCCGGTTCAGAAGTACACAACACACATAAGCGAGAAAGCAAGATTACATTTACAAATAATAAAAATAATAAATACCCACACCAACCCGGCTTTAATCTTTAATAACTGTTTAATACTGTACATCAAATTAAATTTTTCGGTAAAAATTCGTCCATTGGCTGTCCTCAGGTTTTAGTATGAAAAGTTTTTCTCGGTGTTTTACTAAAATATGTCCATTTCTTGTGTAAATTAGCGGTTTTTGCAAAAAAATAACATTTTCATTTTTAACAAAAACAAATTTGCACAAAAATAGAGGTCAGATTTGAGTAAAAACACACCAAAATACACGCAAAAGACAACCTATTCTCATACCAAAAGAACCAACCTACCTAACCTAACTTACAAGGAGGAGGAAATGAAGAGACAACTGACGAAGTGTGGAGTATAACTTCACGTAAACATGGCGGGAACGTGCGGACAGCCAATGAACGAATATTAACCAAATTTTCTGCTCATTTATAAGTTTGTCAAAATCCTAAGTTTGCCATTACTTATGTTTGACTTACTATATAAAATCTCAAATATACTTTCATTTTGTGATAAGCCTTACAAACACAATTCGAAGATTTCCACGAACCCCCCCAGTATGTATGCATATACTGTATAACCTAGGATAATATTAATACATACTGTATGTGTGTGTGTGTGTGTGTGTGTGTGTGTGTGTGTGTGTGTGTATGTGTAAAGGATCAGTAGAGAAGTGTTGACGTAGGAGAAAGCTGCGTAGGGCCACCCGCTGTCTTTCGCCCCCCGCACTTCACTGGCCCAGCATGTTTTTATCCTCGGTTTGTTCAGCACACATACCTCGCTGCAGTTTTCTCTCTTCAGGCCCAAGAAAGGAATGAAAGTTATTTCCGAGAAGCGTGGACACTCATCCGGCACGATCACTATGAAGGTGTGGATGTGTACTACAACATTGGGGAAAGGTGTGTTGTGTAAGTTTCTTGCCACTCGTCAGTACTCTACCACGTTTTTCAGGATGTACCATATAAAGAGTTAGCTACCCTTCCCCCGCCCTACCATAGCAACAAGTGGCAGCTACCTGGTGTTCTTCCTAAAAACAGAGGTATATTCTTTACATGATATGTCGGCTATTATTATTATTTATTATTGAGTAATGATAAAAGAGACAAAACAACAAATCATATATGTACTACGATGCATTACAAGAAAACGGTGTCAGAAACCTATTTAATAATTTTGTACATAAACTGCAAAAAATCGCCTGGAGGTAACTAACTTTTTATCATTATACAGTATGAAGAAATACTATAAAACTATTTCACACCATACAGCTGGACAATACCAGTAGTTCGATTACGTCCAATTTTTCCACATGTTCTTTGGATGATAATAAGTAATGAAAGCGACATGATAACAGATACTTTCAGTCGTTCTGGAGAAGCTTTCACTGATGTTTGTGTTGGACGGCGGCCTCAGTACACACTTCACAGTCTTTCTCCATTACTCCGGTGACAGTTGACACTTTGACAAGTAACCTCAGGTATAGTGATCATGGTAGGTATCGTGGGTTACAAGGCCAGTCAGCTGGTGTTAGGTTAGGGCAGCCAGATGATGTCACGGGTCACTTAGGGCAACGAGCTGGTGTCACGCCACAAAACAATATTAATACTAATACAGACTCGTATCTTAAGAAAATTTAGTTACAACCAAGAGTGTTGGTGCGACACTAGACCAGGAAGTAAAAGAATTAGAGAGTTATGAGAAAGAACAATTAAAATCCCTGCCGCCTTTCTCCGACTTCCGTGGTGTTGTATAAAACAGAGTGAAGCTCCTCCTACGTGACCCCTGCTGACCCCGCCAGGTGTTGTGTGGTGTGGGGGAGAAGGGAGAAATCAGGTGTCATCCTTTGGTAGTGTTATTATTATATTGTTAATATCCATTATTTACCTCATCCTTTGTTAACATCTGACACCTGAAGATTGGTTATTTTAACATTAAGATTGCCCATTCTAATGATAACCTAACCTAACGTTCATCTAGCCTAAAGCTAATCTAATACAAACTTAATCTAGCCTAAACTGACCTCAGGCTAAACACGCGCATCTAACCTAACAAGGCCTTCCCTAACCTAACTTAACCCACTCAAGTAGCGTTGGGTGTTTAATCATCAGGAGTGAAATAAGCTGGGGTAGCTGTCCTGAATATTAATAGCGGAAGTAGATCCAGAAAATTACACAGAGCGCCATAGGGGTGGGGTAGAGAGTGTGTGGGCTACAATTATGTAATATGATCTTTGTGCCGTATCAGTAATCCTAATTTTCGAATATATTTCAATTTAGTAAAGTAAATACTCAAATTATAATATTCTTGAACAAAGTATACGCCTGTTATACCTGTGAGGTGTGTAAAAGTGAGCAAAGATGTAAATAAAGCTCTCTGACTGCCTCGGCCTATTAGGCTACATTTCTCTGGTCTCTCTCCGGTGCGTGTTGTCTCACTGTGGTGGTGGTGAGGGGGAGGGGGAAGCCTAGTACTGGCCCAAACAATCGGTGGCTCTAAATGACTTTACTGCACTGGCAAGAAATGAAGCGAAACGAACCTTTGCTGTCGTTAGAGAGTGAGTAACATGATGTTGGGCTTTGTCTTTGTATGAATGGAGGAATCAACTTTGCCCCTGACTCTCGCTGCCTCATCCCACCCCCTGATGCCCACGACGGCCTTTTAAGTCAACACTATTATCCGATTACGACTTCAAATGGCCAACATTGTCAGAACGTGAGGAAAAAACAGATAAAGGCGAATGAATGTCGACTTAGGCGAGTAAAAACGGAAACCGAAACGACATACCATAACGAGGTAATGAAACTTAAGAGAATGAAAGCGGAGTTTGAAAAAGAGTGGAATAATAAACTCGTCACGAAGCGGAATAATGAATATGTTGAAAAAAAGTGACAGTCGAATCTCAGGAACATGCTTTAGAAAGGTGGTGTGATGGGAAGCTATATGGTTGTTCCTGGGAGGTGAAGAGCCGATGTACACACCCAGGTAAAGTTGGTTAATCTTCAGGTGAAATAAGCTGGGGTATCTAATCTTCATGTGAACCAAAAGGCTCCAGGAGAATAATTCGAAGAAAATTGAGCTCTGTCGGCATTACTGACTTGTCCAGTAACCCAAACTGCAGTAGCTTCATTGCAGACTGGCCCATTTTCCATTTAACAAACATAATATGCACTTGGCCACAAAACAATCATAAATTAAAGCTCAAGTGATTCATAAATTACCAAAATATATAAAGTAAAGTGATGTAAGTATTAATTTAGAGACCCAACACTAATGAAAAGGGTTTTCTACTTGCCTGCTGCTAACCTGCTATACCCAAGATGGCGGATACCCAGCAACTTTCTCTCCTACTCGCCTGGAGATATTTTCACAGTGCCCATCACACTTTCACAAACATAATACATATATGATTAGAAGCTATTACAGAGGTTCTAATTATCATCAACTATTTATGCTGGTAGTTATAATGTAAATGGATTCTGTTTACATCATGTAAACATGCTGGTAAACATAGAGAATAAACGCTCTACGGTATTTTTAATCAGCTGTGTGTATCTAATATGTACAAATAATGCATCTCAAAACAGTTTCAGTGTCAGATTCTCGGTAAAGATTCACCAATTAAGGTAGTAATTTACGTTAGTGTTCCTTTGTTAGACTAGGTCACGTTTTGTATATTACACTGGGATGACTGGATCCTGTCTAGTATATATACTCTGACGTCCCTGCTGGCCAGACAACTCTATATACTAGAGCCTGCTGAAGCCCCTTACCACATAGTCTATGTGGTCAGGGGTTGTTAAAATTATACAAATTGAGCCACAATACAACACATGGAGTGATAACAAGGCCGCCGTAACACTAACAGCACTATCCAAATAGCCACTAAAGCTACAAGCAGTATTATATCAGTCATAGCTTTAACTATACCACAGCCTCATACAAAGACACCACAATCACACGCTAACATAAACCTTCGGTAACGGTGACGGACGCACAGGGCTGTTTGTTGTTGGTTCACGGTTATGGCTGATGACAGACAGCACTACAGGCACAGCAGATGGCTTATTGCTGACAGAGTCAGTAGGTGAGTGATTACTGCTAATACTACTACCATAATAATAATAATCATGTGCTATATTGACCACTATGTGTGTTTGTAAGCTCTGTTGTAGGATATGATCACACAAAGTCTTCACGTTTGGTGGAACAAAGCAAAGTCATCCTCCATCTTGTCTTCCAGTGGCCGCTCTCCTGGATATAACAGATTCACTAACAATACAGGTAGAGGAAACAAATCCCCACTAAACACTGACTTTTCCGGTATTTTTGCGAGTCACTTTCTCCTTGCTGGAGGCTTTGAACTATCAGGTCAGCTGGGTAGGTGCACTTTCACTATAATATATTAATCATAGGAAGGAAAGTCTTCAGGTTTTATATAATACAGGTAATTAACAGAAAGAATGGAGCACATGAAGATTAACTCACCCCAGTTTATTTCACTAGATGATGGAAACACAAACACTACCTGGGGAAAGTTAAGTTAGGCGACACTCGATTAGGTTATGTTATGTAACATAATATGTGCTAGGTTAAGTTAGTTTAGGTTTGGCTAGAAATAGACAATTGTTCCTCAAGTATTAAAACTAGTGTTTCAACAGGTGTTACAGTCACATTGGGCGTATGGGCGGGGTACAACCGGTGTCGCTTGGGATCTTTTGCGTCAACTGGTGGGACCTGAGCACCGTCTACCACGAGCTGTTTCACACCCTGGGCTTCTACCACGAACACAACCGTCCAGACCGCGACAGCTTCATTGAGATCAAGTGGAATAACATCGCTGAAGGCCGAATCCAGAATTTCATCAAGAGAACTCAGTCCTCATCTGAACTTACAGACATGCCCTATGATCTCAGTAAGTAGGAGAGTGGAAGCCAGATAATGCTCTTACTAAACTATTAACATCATGCTAGAGAGTCGTTTGATGCAGGCAGGAGAGCTATGTGTTGAGTGTATCAGGTGGCAGGTAAATACTGGAATACAGTACAGTACTGTACTTTTACCTGGTGTAGTTACAGTATTTGTGTCATGTCCTCCCTTTATGATTAAGCACTCTAGTACCCCAACGTTCCCTGTGGGGGTTAGGTTAGGTTTGGTTGGGTTATGTTTTGTTAGATTATGTTAGGCTAGTCACATTTTGGAAAGCAATGTATATTGTATTACGGCTGTGGGTAGTTGTGCCATACTGATTTAGCCTTCCTTTACCTTGTGAGCGTTGTGATTATTATGAATTATATGGTAAATGATTCATTGACTGGTGTGGTGATTGATATGGTGAGGTGAACAATATCATTAGTAATACAGTGACTGTCTCAGTCTGCTGATGTCACTTCTGGTAAAGGATGATGATGATCCATGTGGCTCTATGCATCTTCCTTTAGTCATTCAAACAGACCAGAGGTTAGCTTCTCAAATCCATCTCCACGAATCATCTTCAACATATATATATATAATGTAAAGGCTTACTTTTTGCAGCGTCTGTGATGCACTACAGCCCATACGCCTTCGGCAAGTGGTCCTTTCTCACTCCTACCATCAAGTCGAGGCGGCGAGGCTACGGCTTCCACAGACCCAGGAAGCCATCAAAGGTAAAACAGATACTGTACGTTGTTAACATCGTGTTTCGTTGTTAACATTATGTGTAAACACCCGCTATTCTCATAATGTATCAGAAAATATCCTCTGCCTTGTTGATAAATTTTTAGTTTAAGAAGCCTGAACAGTACTGTATTTCCATGCTGGGTCAACATTCCTCACTTTGTGAAGCTTTGGAACTACACATTGTATGTTATAATTTAAAAAGTACCTTGTACATCTGTAGTCTACATTCACTTCTCTCTTTGGTGATATATATATACAGCATGTCTAAACTTATAATAATAAAGGGAATAATTAGACGACGGCGACAACGGTGTCTTCGATGGTGAAGACTTCAAAGACGATGTCGATGACAGTGACAGTAACTGATGAGGCCAGGGTGGTGACAGCAGCTCTTCGCTTCCTTCAAAACAGATGAGCTAAGAACATTAATGACAGAAAAAAAAAAAAAAAAAATATATATATATATATATATATAAGCAAGACTTATGTGGAAAACACAGTTTAATAATGAAGAGGATCGCCAAGAAAGTCACAAACATCTTATATTGTGTTGGTTAACACAAGCAGCTATCGTTAGCTGACTACATAAACCAATTCAACACTGCAAGATGTTTGTGACTTTGGTGTTCTTCATTTATTAAGGACACTTCCAGGCAATGCTTGCTGGTGGACCAGCATCCTGACAAGATTTGAGAAACCCACCAGTTGCTGAATGATAAGAAACCTTTATCAGTACCTGCCTGCCACCCTGTGTGTGTGTGTGTGTTGTTCACATGACTATTAACTCTGCTTCAGTGCATTAGTTAAGTTATTCTTATATATAATGTAAATGTAAAGGGTGTTTTTTTATTCTATTCTGGTGTTTTCTGCCAGAACTTTCTACCACAATCCCATTAATTTCAGATTGACTATAGGAAGCTGAATCGTCTCTACAGTTGCCAGCGTAAGTGCTATTGTAGAGTTTCTAGATGAATAATTGAATGAGTGGATGGACTAGTAACTGAATTTGCTGGAAGTGTGTGTGTGACTGAATTTCTTTTGTGTGCTCATGTGTGTTGGTTTGTGTACACAAAGAAAGTAATATCAAGTATACAGTCCCAGAAATTTTTTCCTTCATAACCGAGAAATTTTTATCCTCATCGTGGTCTTTGCCAGCACTACCACCACCTATAAGTCCCACCCACACCCCAACTACTGTGATGACACTCACTACTCCAGTTGAGATGTCTTGGTCCTCTGCTGTGCTTTTCTCCCACTCTCACAGGTGGTGGTAGAGTTATTTATGCTTCCCTTTGACTGTGTTCCTCAGTCACATAAATTGGGACGTTCATCTGAGGGGATAACCGTGTTTAATGACATTTTTGTTACCTCCCAGGAAACACTAAACTTCTTCCCTCCTTCACTATACACCAGAGACCGACACATATGCCTGATAAAATCGCCAGGCAAAAGTCGATGGTAGTAAGTGGAGTGAAACTCTTCAACAACTGTGGAAAGACCACGGACAACTGACCAACCACCCGTCTAATGATTCGTAAACACAAGAACCCTTCTCTTGTTTAAGCCAGCATGAAGTTTTTCAACAGATGTCACAATTATTTTTTTTTCATACACACCCATTTACATACTGTACAGTATATTTAATAATAATTATCCACATTATGATGATTGCAAACATTTCCAATAAATTCCTCATTTGTTAGTCCAACTAATACAGCAGCAGTAATCCTGACCTTGTGTATCTTCAGGTCGACACTTGTTCTCCCGACTAGGTAACACCGAATACACCCCATCGAGGCTTTACTGGTATCCCTGGAGATTAGAGAGATTAACGATAAGCGGACCTGGCTCCACACGCACCCCCCTCAACATCAGCCCCTCCATACCTTGAACCTCACCAGGGTCAGCTCAGTCACTCACCTCCACAGAACCCCTACGTGTGCCGGCCACCACGTTTAATCACAAGCTTAGGGGATCACACTCATTGACAGACTCAAGATTACAGGAATATCAACTTGCACAGCATTTTTCAGCTGCTAAAACTGTTACACCACGATTTCGTTCACCACAAAGACCTGCCAGGTCACAAGGCTGGCAAAATATCCAACAAAGTCGTCTTTTTTCCACTACTGGCAGTGTTGGTGTCTTTAGAGCACAAACTACCTCAACTTGGAGACCTACACGACCAGGTGGACCCTCAAGACCTCCTTCCCATCCAAATCCATTACACACAGATGTTCTTTATCCAGTCCAGAGATCCAGCTGGGAGCCATCTTCAACATAATCTACATATAAATAATCCTTACAATCAACTTCTGTAATTTACACTTGCTGAAGCACTGATGGTGAGGGCAGAGAATATTAAGGATGGATTTCCTTCCAGTGAATTAATTCCTTGCTCTAATGAGATGTTTAAGTCGTACGTGTAACTGGGCTATGAACTACGGTGTTGATGCTATTCGTGCTACTGTATAGTTTTTTGTTACAATTGTGTATTGTAAATCATGTAGTATATACCCAGACTATAATGTACATAACACACTGCCAACCATTGTCGATTAATAAAGTGTATATATTTAAATACAGACGAGTTTAGTCCAGGTTTGTCCAACCAGCAGTTTGTATTAAGCCCCCTTCATAAATAAAGTGTATATATAATAATGTTTTTGTTATTTCTACGTTGTCAATAATTTGTAATGGTTCACACTCCATTATTGTTTTTAAGATCAACCAACCAGGATTCAAATTCAGTAACCGTAAATGGACAGACTAGTGTTGTAGCAGAATACGAGTTACATAGGTCATGAGGTGGTGTCAGAGCTCATTAATAGAGACACTAATTTACACACATGTAGGTTTGGTTATCTGAAGTTAATTACGCTCTTTGTTAGATTTTAATGACTATTTTGTTCAATATACAATTTTCTTTCACTTTGTGTCACGTCTATCATTATTAGCACAGTATTGTCGTGTGGCCCAAATACTGTACTGTTAAATATAAAGTTTGGCACCCCTGGTACAGTCAATGTCTGTGCCCTTCATGATCATACTCCTCTTATCTACCAGAGTCCTTTCACTATGAGGACACCACTTTTTAATATTTTATTTAGTTAACGCAATACGATTTTATTCAGTTCAGAGCGGACCCTGTACACAAGGGGTAAGACTTATTTCCTCAATATGTTTTATGGTAATATCCTTTTTAGCTCAGAGTTTTTATCTTTATTTAAAATATTATCTAAAGAAATATGACTTATATAGCAATGGTTATATCATTTCAATAATCACACGCACATGCAGAAGTTTATCGAAGTAATGAATAATATATATAGCTGTATAATGCCGAGAATTTGTGTTGGTTTATATACAGCCAATGTTTGCCAAAAAAATTTCAGAAATATATTAACAAATATCTTGTACAAAATATTTCATCAATAGATGTGAATCTTCCACACGGTTTTATTCATTTATTGAACATTAGCATTTTCTTGATTATTTTTTAATTCAAGTTAAAGGTAGTAAAACTTTTCTTACCTATGTTAACATATTTTCATAAAATTTGCTAATTAGTTTGGGACAAGAATATGTTTTTTGAAAAGTGAAAACAAACAAATAACTTATGCCCTAATGGACAGGTACAGTACAGTACTTCATGTCATTTCAAGTAAAACTATAAAGACCCTCAGGTTTTATCAGCAGGGAATATAAAGAGTCCTGATGCAAATGAGAATATAAATATTTTAATAGTCATTATCACTAAAAACATAAATGATTTTGGTACGACTCTTACGAAACGTTAATCTTTGAATAAAAATATAGTTGTCCTTCAAAACTTTGAAATATATATATATCTCTCACTTTTATAACTACTGTATCTTCTTTTGTTATTTTGTAAAACCAACTCACAGGATTTGTCATACAACTATTATGATTATTTTAGTTATCCTGGTAACAAATACAGTACAAAATCTGGTTGGCAATGGACGTTTCTAAACTCCAATTAAGACTCCCTGAATATACAAAGAGCAGCAAGGCAGGATATGTTCTCTACAAATTACAGGTAAGGCATACAAACAAGTTCAATTCTAACTCAAGATCGTAGTCTTTCTCAGTACAGTATAATGTATCACTTCATTATCCAATACACACTAAACTTACGTCATGTATAAATTTTTCACTTAAACATGTCGCGCAACTTTTAAAACTCTTTATATAAAACTTAAGTCTCTCCCTGTCTACAATATCAACTTTAAATTGACCTTGCAATTGTCTATAGAATAAGAAAAAAAATGTTGGCTCATGTCAATAGATCAATATTTCCAAAAGTACATATGTAAAATATCTAAATTTTATCTTTTCATTAGCACATAATGTTGAATCTCCCCCTCAGGAAAACTTTTATCAACTAGGAAAACGAAAAAGAAAAAAAAAATATTTCAATAGAATGTAAAAAGATTTATTGTTTTCAATGTCTATTACAAACACTTTCTGTGATTGACATGAGGGATAGAAAAGAAATATTTCTCTAAATACACGGAAGTCACCAACTTAGGTGTGCTGTATTTCATCCTACTACTTGTACTACAAAAAATAATTTGAGTGATGATTAAAGGAGACATTCTGGACAGTATCCTCTATTCCCGTGGCACAATATTCATAATGGCATGTTTTGAGTTAACAGCATTAAATGCTTGTTATAAACTATTAAACTATGTGGAACTGAGAAACAAAAAATTTAACAAAATTATAATATGGCCATTAATAAATTATGAATTTTGGTGAAACATAACCTGTGTTGGAGCAAAACATTCACATTGTAACTCATATGACAAAAATTGTGTAATGCAAAAATATTATTTCAAGAATTATAATAAGGGTAAAGATCCAATTAAAATTTCATCAAGGTTCCCCTGGTTCCTATCTCAGCTGCCACACACCACTAGAATGTTCACAACCTTAGAGATTGCCTTATTGCACTCCCTTGGCAGTGGCAGTAGTGCTCTGGGGACCAGTTAAATGTGTTCGTGTAATGCCCCATCCTTTATTTTAAAGGATAAACATTTTCTTCTGGTGAATCTGGTAGCACACACACCCACGCCGGAGCGACTTCTTAAAGCTAAATAGTGTCATCTAGGCCGCGGCAGTTTTTTGAGACGTCCAGTTCGGGAGGAGATGAGGGTTTGGGGTGGCCTGTAACTAAACTAGGAATTGAAGAAAGGCATTTCTTTTATTAAATATCGGTTGTTTGATGGCCTCAATGTGAGTGTATGTGCCAGTGCATGTGTATGTAAGTAGTGTGTGTGAAATGTATGAGCGTAGTAAGGGTTGACGTCATGTACATTTTAAAATATTTATAAAATACTTTACATATTTTATGTATAACTTTGTTCACCTTGACTTAATCCTGGTGAATATAAACATTGGCAATAAAATGCCTTTGATAATTCATATCCCTGATCATAATGCAAATATATATATCAATAAATAACGAATTTTGGGAAGAGTCCGCATTTTGTGTACAGGGAGGATGAGATTTGGCTAAAAATGAGCCCACAACAATTAACCACTGTCTCCCCCATCTCCTCTGAATTCCGTCTTATACAAGGAAACATCTTCATTAACAAAAACGTAAATCAGATCATCTGTACAACTATAAATTATAATTATCATTCACTTGTACAACTGGCTCTGCTCGTGAGTCCAAACTCTCGGTCCCAGCAACAAAACATACAAGTGGTTGTTGTAAAATTTAGTAGCAAGTTTGTGCTGTGGACACCTTGCAGCGGTATGGATGGTGAGTGGGCAGTCCTTGTGTGGGGCAGACTCTTGTCACTGGGATGCTTCAATGCTGCAACTTGCATTTACTTTTTAATACTACATTGTACTGACAGGCATTCATGAGGCACATCAATTGATTTTATGCATCACTAGCTTAGTATTACGGTTGCCATCAGTCTTACAACACTTGTACACTTAGCTTGTAGCAGATGCATTTCAGATGTCATGACACAACTTGGAACATCTTTCAACTCGTTTACAAAGATAAAAGTTTTGAGTTGCACGTTTCACTTTATCACCCTCCCTTCCCTCCCCCACAGTACTCACTGCCTCCTTGCTGCAAATCACGGTCCACACCACCATCCTTGCTACAATCTTGTACTTTGAGGTGACGTCCACACAACTTTACCCTCAGAGTAAAGTATAAGTCACAGCTCACACAGTGAGGGAGTCTGACTCTCCATTAACATTCACAGCTTCTCACCCCCATCAGTCTGAGGAATAACTCTGGCCAGATGACAGGGGTAAGATCAATACCACACGTTAGGACCCTCCACTCTCTTCTAGTTCACACTTGTACTTGTTATAGGGTGCAAAAGGTGGTCGGGAGGGGTCATCAATACGCACTATTCTTGTACAATTGGGTCGTAACCCATCAGTGTGTCCCAAAAACCAGTCGGTGGCAGCTCGCTGATCTGCCTCAGAAACATGTCTCGTGCACCAATCACCATGCCATGATAATAAACCACTGCGCATCCTTCGACTCACATGTTCATGACTCTAAAAGAAGAGAAATTGTGTTATGAGTCAACAATATACATTACTTTGCCTTATGGCTTTATATTAATAAAACTAAATAAAACCCATGATTTAATGAAAATAGGATACTTACTTGTTTGGCCCTCTTGAGAGCCTGCTTCTTGTACATATATGAATCACTATTGACTACAAACACCATCTTGAATGAGGACAGGTTGAATTTGCACTGAGTGTTGTCGACAATGTCCATTTCAGGACACACTGGTGGCTTGATGTCCTCCGTACAGCCACCCCTGTGAAGAAAATTAAATGAGAATTTCTGGATAAACATACAAAGTACCACATACTTCAAGATCCATTAATCAATATAAAAGCAATACTATTCCATCCACGTTGCAGTTATTTGTTTAGCTAACCTCATGTCCCAATAGTTCATAATTTTCATCCCTGGTCTCACGCTCGCACACAACCCAACTACTGATTGCTTTTCGGTTACCAATACCAGTGGAAGCTGGCTGTAAGGATGGCAGCCGTCATCTTTGAAAGTTATATGTTCCTGGCATTCCATTTTTGCACTAGGGTGGGGTGGAAATTAGGTTTACCTTTGCTACCAGTAACAAGTTTAGTCTATAAGCTACATTCTCTCTTCTTAAATCATCTACTTTTAAATTCCATTTCCATTCCTTCCTCTCACTCTAGTCTTCCACCATTAATCATTTCTGCTGAGCCAAATAATGGTCAGGCACTACATGCACATTAACTCTCTACATTTACTTATTTCTATAACTTTTACTCACTTTTCAACCTCCTGATTTGTTTGTCTAGAAGCTGTTAACTTTCTCCAAGAGCGAAGGTTGCGTGGTAAAAACACTGGTTTTCTGGACAGTTGGGCTTGCATAGCAGGTGACATCTGAGGAGTAGAAATGTATCTGTATTTTTCAACATTCTTTTTGCATAGCAAGTAAACCAGGGAAAAATATCTGCAATATCTTGAGTTGTATTTCAATCAACTGTGTTAAAAAACAAAACACAAACACACCAGCCAATATATTGCACGACAAGGTGTCACACAAAACTGAGCAACTTGTTGCAGAATTGTGTAAGGGGAAATTTGAGAAGTTTGTCAGACATCATAACATGGGTTCTATTATGAATACATAATTTGGATTTAAGTCATCACTGACAGGATCCAGTTACTGCAATATCAGGGACAATGGTATTTGTATAATATGGACACGAAGTAGTACCTTAAGCTGTGTATTCTTATATTACTCTATTAATTATGTATAGTAAAGTATTACAGAACATATATTAATCCTATGTAATATTTCCATTTATTATGCACCATGTTATGTATGTGAATTATCATATTTACATATTATGTATTCAGCTTGTGAATGCTGGCATCTGTACATGCCAGCGCGGAGTGATACAGAGAGTTGAGATCGCTAGTCCTTATGGTGTGGAAGCCCTATCTATTGTTCCTCTGTATACCTCCCGTACGAGAAAAAGAACCTATTTTCAAGATAACAAGTGTTTGTGTATACCCTCAGTAGTGTAGAACATTTTGGGGGTATCAAAGACAAACATAGAGTATTTAATTAGAATTCCATTGAGTCTTATCCTTATTTGTGACCAAGTTGACAAAAACAAGTACTAATGACCCACCAGGCTTCCCCAAATAAAGCGCGAGTCTGATTTATCTTTTAAGTAGACAGTTATAATGATTCTTGAGGTATAACTAATGATTATTTACCTTCACAACCTAGCCTCCCACAAAACCTACAAAATCCTCTACTCAAGGCATCATTGCAGGTTCTATTATCTCCATTTCCTAATACTTTGAAGATAAAGTTAAGCATGCATTCACAAACTCACTCATTCTCAGTGTGTGAAGAGAGAAAGAGAAAATTTGACTTTTAACTTACCTGGGGTGCGACGGAAGAGACATATTTCTCCACATATTCACTCCATCTCTCAACTTCAGTGACGGCGGGTGGAATGGTTGAATGAGAAGCAGAAGGAACTGTAACACTATGACTCATTCCAGTCCCTGCACTTCCTCCACTATCTTCTCCCTCCTCTAACTCAGTGTCTATCAATTCTATTGTCATTCTACAGTTCCTTTTGTACTGTAAAGAAAAAAAATTAGAGTTAATATTCCTGTCTAAAGAGATCTAATGTAAAAATTTATGCAAGCCAGCTTTACATATCTAATACAGTACAGATTTCTAATTGCACAAGGGAATATTGCTTTATCAGACCAATTTATGCATTTGAAAGTCCGAAGCAGCAAAATTCCTGTACATATGAAGCTTTTGCCAATGTTACTGTAAGGTCTTCCAGTATTGTTTAAAATTTTATACTGTACTTGAAATGTGAGAGGCAAACACTTGTTTGAGGAAAGTTTGCCTTAGTATAAAATTGATCCATAAATCTTGAAATACTTCTCTGAAAAATGCTGTGTAACATTTAACGGAGTCTCGTTAAGAAAAATAGTCTTAATACAACGTGACTTAAAAGATTAGTGAAACGGTGGCCAAATTCTCAGCATATTTATGATATCAATTATTACTCCATTCTGTATTTGTTGTCCCACTGGAATACTGTACTGCCTTAGTGAGTGCTTTATAAGAAACACATTTTGCAGGAGAACAAACTTTTCACATTCTCTTAACAAGTGTCATTCCTCTTATATTGTACGTGATTATATACTGTATATATATTCATTCTTTACTACAGAGGGGAACTATACCGAGGTGAGAAAACCTTCATTATCACAAAATTCCCACTATCCTGGCCTTTCTTATTAATTAATTACTATGGTAAAGCAATATATGACGGAACAATCAACAGTTTTACTACCCCTCATCAAAATTCCACTTAATGAAGAATAAAAACCCGAATAAATTTAAATTCTCACGGTATAAATTTTGAAGCAATTTTCATCTTGTAGAAGGCGTTCAGATTTTTTCTGGTACGTTTGTTCTGCAGCCAATCTTCGGTGCGCAGATGCAATGGGACCTCCAGCCCCGCCCTTCTTGGCCTCAGACAGGTACATGGCTGTACACTGGGCTGGAGGATCATCACACACCAAATGTTGGAGTTGTCTCACTGCTCCAGTTACTACCTGTGTTGGGAAGATAATTACCTGTATTGTACTGTAAGTTACAAATGGTGTAATACATTAATTAGCTTGGCTGCTGATGTGTGTACTATTATGGAGGAAATGTTTTTCACCTAGACCCAACTTACACTGTAGCCCTAGTGTATATTGATTACCAATAAGCAATTAAAACTATTAACTATTGCTTTTATACAGTATTAATATACAAAACAATCCTTGCCCATCATGAAGAAGTACCCCTTACTATGGTTGTCAGTGAAGGAAGGCATGAAAAACCAATTCAGTCAGTGATATCACCCTACCTTATCCATTGTAAAGCCAGTGTATGCATGGATGCCAAACATTTCCCTTAATGTATCTTCATAAGCTGTGGACTCCAAGTTGCCATCTAGAACATTCTTCACCATGTCTAACATGGCAGGGTAATAATCTTCAATGGCTATCTCATCTGAAACAAAACAAAAATGAATATCAAATTAGGCTTATTGGATTCTGATCCCAATCCTCCCTGCTAGTTTATGTTTTAACTTTGACTGAACACTCATATAGGATTTGTATGTTGCAGTATAGCAATAATTGTGGCTGAACAAAATGTCATTGATCCCTTGCTCTCACTTGATTCATTTTGAAAATGGTCCTATTCACACCTTCAAATTTTAAATACTGAAGTAATGCATTCGTTGAACAATTCTATGTTACTGTAAAACTAAGTTACACTATGGTATAAGCTGCAAAGATGTGAAGGACTTACTTTTAGGTTTGAGTCTAAGGGCGACTGCTGTTGCTTCTTTTCTATCCTTTTTATCTTTTGCCTCATCAGCAGCTATCTGTACAGCATGCTCATACATGGTGGTGAGACGGCAGCACAAAATTTGATGTAACCGAAGAAAGAGGTACCAATTGTTGTTGCACATGAATAATCTGTACTCATCATCCTGGGGAAAGGGAAATACTTTTTCTATAAATAAATCTTGTCAGAAACTAACTGTACAGTATACCCGTATACCACTTGTTCTACCATCTTCATCAATTAATCATATCCATTCCTAGCTAAAGGAGAGAGAGAGAGAGAGAGAGAGAGAGAGAGAGAGAGAATATGCATAAGTCCACAGATGAGAATGATGCAGAAACCCCTTATTCTAAGCACACCAAAATGGAATGATTCTTCCCACCAAACACTCAGGAACCCAAGGAAGTCATAACCCGCAGCAGCAGGGTCATATACAAACAACGAGCCACCTCCTCTATAACAATTCAACCTTTAAAATGAAGTATTAGGAAACAGCAACTGTCTAAAGCCAATGAGGTCAGACATAGCATATAAAACCCATTCTTCACTTGTTCTAGTGGTCAAATAAAAGGAAGCAAAAATAACCTAATTGTCCCCAAATTACCCATGCATTACTTTAAAGGGCACAATATGTGCAATCACCCACAAAACTCCTGTTGCATCTCCACCTGACCCACGAACCCTGAGAATTAAACTTGTGAATCCGAAGTATTTACGGACACAATCAGCGTTTACTGCTACAGGTTTGCGAGTCTGAATCTCAAAGTTCACGGTACAGCAAGAGAAGCAACAGAAATTTTGTGGGTGACCATAGCTATGAATAATATAGTGTAATTTAATACTACTGTTCTCAAAAACAGAGTTTTGGTTTCTCTACTTACTCACCAAAAAACTACTTTAACCACTCCCTAAAAATCAGGCTATGATAAAACATACATGCAATTGATGCTTATTCTGTTGTCAAACTAATCGTACAACTCCTGAAGAGAAATAAATTGCCTCTGAACCCTGGCTGAGAATGTCACCCAAATCCTGTAATTCAGATTCAACTCAATTTATATCAAGACAAACTCTTCTAAAGGAAAATGAAAAGTAGACATCCCAATCGATAATCATACATAGATAAACATACGTGAAATTCAATAAACATTACAGGTCAATAACATACAAAAAATATGAATACAAGCCACATTAACAAAGATTTTAAAACATTCTCACCGGCTGGACGTTCCCATTGCCAATAGTTCCCGGCTCTTCCTTCACTTCTATCTTTTCGTCGTCCACTTCAGTCTTTATACTGACTTTCTCATCTTCAGTCGCATCTCCATTTAGGGCTGCTTTACTCTTATTATCATCTTTGGTTTTGTTATTGTTATTGTTATTATTATTATTGTTCCCACTAGTTTCTCTCCCACCATTTTTATCACCTTCTTTCTCAAGTTCAATGCCTCTATTTCTCGTTTTTCTCTTATTAGAATTGTTATTGGTAGTGGCACATGGGGTTGACGTGATCTGCTTGCACTCTCGGCCCCTGAGATCCCGTCGGCCAGCACTCTCACACTTGCCTTCACTTTTACGATCCTCCTCCTCATCTTCCTCGTCTGTGGGAAAAACGGCATAGACGATAATTACAATAATCCTCACAAATTTATAAAACAAGGAAAGCGTGATGTGAAAATGCATATCCAACTAAATATATATCCTGTTCACTATGGCAGGTACTCAATTACTGTATCTTCAATAACTTTCTAACAAAAAAAAAAATAGAAATAATCAAAGTAAATTTCAACAAATAACAGGTGATGTGAAAGTTATAATCAACTAAACATTATATCCCAATCAACATAACGAAGAGTCAAATTCCTCACCTTCCATATCTTTCTCATCATCGGACATATCTTGTCTCGTGTGGAAGAGAAAGTCTGGGATAAAATGTCTGACTATCTGCTTGATCTTCACTTTGTCGTCTTTGTGGTACGTCGTCTGTCTCTTGACGTGGTGGATTATCAAGTTGGCTGCGTCGTCAATGATGGACTTATCAGGGTAGTGGAGTATCATATGAGGCCCGGTAATGACTTCACCACTTTCTTCGGCTTGTTCGTGGCGCTGAAGGTGACCGAGAGAGAGAGAGAATTAACAATTAATACACACAAACAAATTCTAACATGTTTAACAGTTCATTTTCTTGTAATGAATGAGACAACTACCCACCCTCAGTAAACAATCATATAAGCACAATTACAGTTCTATCAAATCTTATCTATATAATAACTCACAAATAACCAGACACTTACTAAATCCTACCTTCTATTAAAACTACACACACACACACATGAACTAAATCCTGATAGAACTTAGAATAATAATATAGAGCTCAAGAAGATGCCAGCCAACACCAAAATGCTCAATTACTAAAGTTTCTAAAATAATTCCTTCCTCTCCTCCCTGGTGCCTCCTATGTGATCTTACCTCATCAAATAGTGTTTCGATGTCATTTAGTAAACTTTTAGATCGTATCGTTTTAACATCAGTTTGCTTAAATGTAATACCCTGGTGGTCCAAGGATTTTAGGTAGTACTTCTCATTCTGCTCTCTCCATATCTTATTAAAGCCTTTCTGTGCTTCCCGCCATTCCTCATCCTGAAAAAGAAATAGCACTTAATTATATAATGAATTAAAAGTTGAGATAATAAATAATGGACCAACAAAATGAGTCACTTGGGTAAAATTTTAGACCTAGTGTGAAATAATTTAAAATTCATATAAAAAACTGACCTTTGCTTTTAATCTTCTTAGAACCAAAGGCACTGCAACAACTGGATTCTTTTTTAATCCATCTATTATATCAGGCGCTTTATCGCCATATATTCGGCGAATGGCCCTTTGGTGTATCGTAGGTGAGTTACCCCCGAGGGAGTCATCTAATCTAAATCTAGCTGCTTCTTCTGGACTCATCCTCTGGAGCTTCTTGTGTACCCCCTCCAACACACGCATCGTCGCCAAGTTCGTCTCCAGCACCACATCCAGCTGGGGAGGGAAAGAAAAACAACATGAGCTATAAATCTTTCTGCAGTACACAGCTAGTTAGATGAGTACAGCCTTAACCCCTTGAAAACAGGGATTGCAATTTGTTGTTATTTTGACTGAAACTGTTGAGGAATGTATCCATTAAGGGCCAAAATAAGTACCCTTAAAGCAGATAATCTTCCCTAAACTCTAGAATTGTGTGTATACATTAAGTGGCAATTATGCTCCTGAGCACTTACTGTCATGTAATTAAATTTTATACCAATGGTAAAATAGGACGGTTAGTTACCTCAAATCTCTCATCTTCACACCGATATATATACTCTTCATACTGTGTTTTCCGGGAGGTGACGAAAGTGGAATCCTCTGACCATGAAGGAAAAGACACCCAGGTATCATTCAGAGCTTCTCTACACAGACTGGTTCGACCAGAGCACCTTGGTTGTGGGTAGGACTTAGGCAGAGCACAGTAAGATGCTCCTAGTCTCTTACACGTTGTATAATCTGCAGGTATACAAAAGAAAAGATATTTTTTATGCAGTCACAAAACCAACCCGTCATCACTTAGTTATACTTGTCATTACATTAGAGAAGTAATCAATACATTGGATTTCTAGATCAAATAATAATAATAATAAAATTCTTGTACTTCAAACTAAAATGAGTTAATAAAATTTAGTATTGGGTAATAATTACTTACCTATTTCCATAGCCAAATCACCACTTATCCTCTCCTGTTTCGCTACAGTAGAAGGTATGATATCAGAGTTGCCCAATGCTCCTTCACGGTAACCGACAAACTCCTGCAAGACAGTGTACATATAAATTCATAACCCTATTTTACATTATGTATCTGTAACCCCCTTTTCCCGTAGGATCTTAATATTATATTCTCTTCTTTAACATAAATATTTCATTACAAGGGTCAAGAGACACATTTTCTTTATGGGAAAGCAAGAATAATGACTGTTGTTATTGTCAGGAGTAGTAAAGACAGGGATTTAATTACTTCAACATTAAGCTACACAACACTTATTACAGGTATGTCACTTTCCAGTGCAAGTTGCCAAATACTAAGAAATGTAAAACAACAAAGAGCTACCATCCTGCACAATGAATGAAATTGTCACAAAAGATGGACACATCCCCAGCCACACCACAGCAAAATCAAAGGTGTGACATCGTGTAACAATGCTAAAGCTCTCACTCTTAGTGGACTTTGCTCCGGATGGCTGTTATTAGTGGACAATAATAATGGATTAAAACATTCAGATGCTGGAGGAGCCTTTGCCAAATACGTAATAAACTAAAAATCTAACACTACTGCTTTCAGGCAGCCATCAAGAGCAGTAGGTAAGTAAATCAATGAATCAAATGTAAGCACACACTAACCTTAAACCACTTGAGAAGATCAGGAAACTTGGCGAGGAAAGGGTAGACTAGCTGTACAAGCTCTGAACGGGTAATTATTTCTTCATTGTACAACGTGATACACCGCAAGAAATTGTGGTAAGTTTCCTCGTGACGTAAAGCTTTCCGTACCTTGAGGAAGAAGAGATCCGTACGATATTAGCACCACTTTATTGCCTGTCCTCTTAATATTAATACAAACAATGATCCATAACTTATTATACCAATTTAAGAAAGCAAGGAGAGAAAATACCCCAATGAAAGAAGAGAATGGTTTTGGTAATGTGTGATGCCAAGGAAAATGTTTAATGAACAGAGGGACTTGAAAATACCAGTAGAAACACTCTCCACACACACTCACATACTTTGTTACATTCTCCAATTGCATACAAAGTGAATCCTTAATTGTAACACCGATTCGTAATAGATGTCAATTAGCTGCACACATACAACAGACTCATTCATGCTTAAACACTGTCACATACAAAATTACTTTACTGTGCATAGTCCAAAAGCATTCTTCTCTCCTTATAAAAAGCTACAGAATAAAATGTATAGGAGATGCATTAGGGAGGAGCAGCAGCCGAGGTGATAGTGTAATCAGTTAAGATAGGATTATTCTAACAGAGGATAAGAAACCACAGGAGTAAGCTAACAGAATTCAGGATTAAGTTCAAAAGGTACATATAACTTAATGACACCATGAGAGGTCACGCCCAGCAAGAGATACAGTACAGTAATAGTTGGCGAGATATTGACTAACTGGACTTAATACTACTACTTCTGAGGAATCATCTTTCATAATGTACTTCTAAGAAATAAAACAAACTTTACACAGAAAATAAAACAACCTAAAATTCATAAATAGACAACTGTGAGGATAAAGAAGGTATAATTTGCATTATTTGGATGATGTAGAATACATAAACATCATTAAATAATTTGAACTTATTATTTACTTTTTGGGGTCAATACTAAAAACTAAGATATATTAATAAAAACAAGAGGTACTGTACCTTGTCAAAGAAGGCGTATTCTGCTAGGGTGGCATATTTGCCAGCTTCAGCAGCACTCATATCCTTCAGGTACCCAAGCTTTGGCTTCTTCACAGGTGGCTGTACATGAGAGTGGGTGTGACCCTGTGTGGGACCTGAGTGTGGTCGCTTCAGCTGATGGCCAAACATGGGTGAGGTCTTGTTGGGCGCATTACCTGGCCCACTCACCAGGTTATTACCTGAACCCAACCCACAACTGCTTTTTATATTGGACTTCTTTACTGACGTATGATCATTGCTTACAGTTTTATTGCCCTGCAGAAGAAAATGCATTAAGACATAAAAATAGCATACAGCAATGTGTGTATCTAAAAAAAAAAAAAAAAACTCTGGAGGTTCCCTATAACACAGGGTTCTCAACCAGGGGAATTCAGGTTTTCAGGGGGGGGAAACTGATTCGGGAGCAAGAGATATGTTCGATGAGAAATCAATCACAGAATTTTGGCCCTTATGTGTGATTCCTACCCAAAAGTGGCAGAAAGAGCTATCCGTGCATTGCTTCCGTTTGTGTCGACATATCTTTGTGAGTCAGGCTTTTCAACTCTGTTGCAAATTAAAACGAAGCAACGTAGTAGATTAGAGGTAGAAAATGACCTGCGTTGTGCCCTTTCAAGCACTCCTCCGTGTATCCCAGAATTGGCGAAGAAAAAACAATCACAGGCTTCTCATTGACTGTAAACTTCATCTAAATAAAATTAATTACAAATTTACAATATCCTGGTATTCTATTGAACTTTTTGTTTATTGCATTATGCTTCAGTTTGGTCTGTTAAGTAATTCATTATAAATATAAAAAAACTATTTTACTTTTATTCAAGTTTTATAAATCCATCAACATTTTCAATTGGCATTTAATTTGTAAAACTCCACTATAAAAATAATCCATGTAAAATTGTAAATGTATATGTACTAATATGGAAAAAATAAAGGATTTTCAGTATTATATGCATATTATTTGGAATGCACTTTTTGAGGCAGACAATCTTGGAAAGGAGGGGGGAATGACATTCTGACATATGGTGAAAGGGGTGCATGGGGCAAACAAGGTTGAGAACCACTGCTATAACAGATAACGCTTAAAATATGAATAAACTCTGTACGGTATATACATGTAGACAGCTTATATTGGCAAATAATATAATAAAATCAACTGTGCATTGCCTTTCAGTGGATTTAAATACTAGTGCTATACAAAAGTGATCAGCAAAATTAGTACAGTACAGTAATTGCATTTTACAATGAAACATCTATCTAACAGATATACAGTAGTTTGTTAGATGGAGGTTTCACATCTAACGGACCCTTGACCTAATGGACTTCCCTCTCCATATATAGTCCATTAAAATGAGGTTTCACAAACAAATTTGCACACTGATATCATACCCCATGATGAGTCCGGTACTGGTCCATGAAGTCCGAGACGGCTGCCTGTGCTGCCGAGTTGTTGGTGGCATCGGGGAGGAACTGACCAAATTCTTGCAATAAATCCTCTTGGTTCTCAAACAGCTTAGCAACCTAAAAGAATAAAACAAGGAAATAACTTGAATGCCAATCTTTACCACATATAATAATAACCAAAGTAAAATGTTCAGTAAAACTTCTAATTAGTATAGTATGTGATGTAGTATACAACTGAATTCAATACTGTTCTTTACCTTTTCGTACACCTCCGTCTCAGTGAGTGTTCTAGTGGGTATAGATCCTCCATCCTTGATGTGTCGTTGCTCTTTCTGGTATGTGTGAAGGATCTCTAGGAACTGCTTATATATATCTGGTTGCCCTTGAAACCGTAACTGCAAGAGTAAATAATATTCATTACTAGACAAACGTGAAAAAATAATTTCTAACACCCAAGAACAGCTGCCAATAAACAGCATATTTAACAAGTTGCTTCAGGTGACCGTATTTTATTTTAAGTGATTTATGAAAGAAACTTCAATTCATTGAGCTTAAGGAACATATTTCACATATTTAAACATACAGTATACAGATTTTCCAACATTCAGAGTAAAAGTGCACATGAATACAATGTTGCAAAGATGCAGATACCAATAACTTTGATACTAAAGTATATTGATTTTAATTACCTTCACTAACAATTTATAATTGTTTCCACTAACATTTTGTAGTAATGTCTATGGGGGAAAAAATGCCTCTTTACATAAACATACCAGGCACAAGAAACTTAAAATTGCAACCTAACAAAATAAAGAAATGTGAAGGCATAACTTTTACTACAAAAAATTAATGTGCTAATAGTAATTTAACTTAAAGAAAGTGTGGTAGTTAGATTATCAAGCAGTACTAACGTGCAAATAGGATATGTAAAGATGTTCTCAGAGTAATGCATCCATAGTTCACCTAAACCACCTATTTAATCAAATAAAATTTCAACATTACATTTCTCTTCCTTGGGGAACATAACTAACATCAGAAATGAAATACAAACTCTAAGACAAAATTTACATCTGAATATGATTATTACTGTAATCTAAATACAATAAGAAACAACCCAGTTCAATCTTTAATCTTAATTTATGATGACATAGAACACAACACAAGTAAAGGACCAAAGTTAAGGGGAAAAGAGCTAATGTATCTTGGTACATACCTTAATTTTATTAACATAATTGATAGCATGGTTGAACTCCACAGGTTGTGCTGGAGGTTGATGATGGTGGTGGTGGTGCTGGTGAGGTGGGGGAGGCTGAGGTTCACGGCTGGGGTGCTGGGGGGCAGTGTTGGTGGAGTGTTGTGCGCCACCTGGAGTATTGCTTGTGGCATTTGAGTTGCTACCAGAGTTGGTGCCGGTGGGGGTGCTGCTGCCAACACTAACACTGCTCGCTACCTGAGTGACATTCGTATTTCCTCCTGGAGTAACAGCGCTTCCACCGCCGCCGCAACCGCCACCACCACCACCTCCCCCTCCTCCGCCGCCTCCCCCTCCCCCAGGTGTTCCACCAGTGCCTCCTCCACTGACAGGCCCTGTGCCACCTCCACTCCCAGCATGAACGCTGTGAGTACCAACTAAACTTGGTCCTGTGTGTTGTGTTACACTAGTAGGTAACGTAGATCTGAAATAAGATAAACGAAAAATACTTATTATTGGTCTCTTGGTATTATATAATTACATGCAGCCATTTAAATTTTCAAGGATATTACTCATTTGTCTCCAAACCCAAATCATTCAAAGAAAACTGCTGCTAATAGTAATGCATAAGTTAGGTAGCACTCTGACCTGGGAGGTGGTGGATGGTGTGAGGGCTTGACAGTAACCGTAGGCGGTGGTGGTGGTGGAGGATGATGTGTGGAGGTGATGTGATGGTGGACGCCCTGAGGTGTGTGTACCACTGTTGTTTGTTGTCCAGGCACACTTACGCTCACCTGAAAAATAGAAATGGGACAACTGTAACTACTGCTACGAAAGCTTCATTCACTGAAAAAAGTTTGCCCAGGAAAATATCAAGGATTTAGCTATTTTCTGATCCTTATGTAAACTTTCAGCCTACACAAGGACCGAGCCAAGATACTTTCCTGTGACGCATTAATATATGTCATTATCACCCAACTTGTGACTGGTTGCTAAGCAGTTACGTAAGAGGATCTACTAATAAATAAATCCTTACAAGTTGTGTTACATGATGGAAAACTTGCATCCACAGCATTACATTTCAGGACTAAATCACATCCTAGACACAGATAAAAGTTTGTTATTGTAAAATGTGTCCCAAACCACAACTATGTCAACACTAGCCACTGGGAAAGTCTAATAATTTTTTCTAATGAAGTTTTAAAAATAATGGAAAGTTAACAAGATATCCTTTCAATATCCAATTATCTTTCCAGTCTGATCAACCAACACTGATGTGCCAAAGGATGTAACCCAGGCAACCAGTGTGGGAGAAGAGCTTGAGGCCAGTAGGCACATCTTCCTTATGATCAGTGTCTAGAGGCCCATCGATAAAATTTTTGTGGAAATAAAGCTGTTGCAATCTCAGTTTGAGAGGTCAGGGTCAATAATAGGATGCATATCTAACTTGCAGTATGTGCCTTCGTGCTAAAGGTCACCATCCCAGTCATTAAGGTCAGGTTGCAAATCTATCCAATGGCAGGTGCAAGTCATGGGATGTCATCACAAGTATTGTGCATAAAGGTTCAGCAGAAATTGGGTAGCTACCACCTTAATTTACTAGAGAAGACAAGATTGGGAACCACATTTATCTCAGGACAAGACAACTTGCTGAAAATGAACCTAGACCTCATTAAATTAAATTACTACAACTTCATTTTGATATCAAGGTGCACATCTGATAGTTGCCTTTAAAAAATAAATAAAAACAAATAAATAAATAATTAAATAAATAAAGGTATGGCATCAATGCATCCTTTTATGTATTTAAGTAAAGATACACATCTACCCAAGGTGTGTACTACCAAAAGGTGTCATCCAATGTGTCACATAAAAGGTACATGCCATGATATCAGAGCACATAATTTTTGAGACAGCAGTAGTAGCTCATTTTTTCCCCTTTTTAATAAAGCAACTGTAACCTTAGACAAGGTGAAGGTTGATGTCAGGATGTAGATTTATCCCATAATAAAGGTATCATTACCATATGGAAACTTCCCATGTGAAGGAGGAATAACACACACACATGGTCTAGCAGCAATGAAGATGCCATTAACTCACATGGAGATAAAAGATCAGGATGCACATATCCCCTAAAGGAGGTTCCCCTAATATTAAATGATATCATCCCAAATGTAGTGCTCCAGAAAAAGCACGTACAACAATGTGGTTGGCAGATGTGGCACCAAAATAAATGTCTCCATCAGGGTGGAGACCCAAAAATTCCTTTTGAAATTATCAGACAACAATCAACCTTATGTCTTAAACCCATAGTCAAACTTATCCTTGAAATTCATGTGAACAGTAAAATTATTAAATGATCCACACACTAGCCTTAATGTGAGTGACTGAACACACTTTTGATATATCAAAAGTCTGGAAACTTCAATACCCTAATTTAAGTATACAGTACAGGGTATACTAAAATAAAAATGCCTGATAAATAGTAAAAATCCTATATAATCTAGAAGAGATGCATTTGCATGCTCAATAGTCAAGCATTATTCTGTTACGCAACACCCAAGCATTATTCTTACAGTAGTTGATGTAAGAGTTGATACTGATCAAAATGGTGCAAGCATTCAGATGTGCTTCAAGGACTGGTGCACCATCTAATGTACAAGTGTGTGTTTCCTTTCGTGCACACTAACATGCTAAAATACAGTACAACTTTAGTTTCCAGAGAAGTAATAATAACAAACTGCACTTCTTACAATTCCAAATATTTCAGAGTATAGTTTTTGTATAAAAAGTGAATTATTTAGTCTTCAAAGTTTCATGAATGCTAATTAAGAAATTTAATAACTGTGATATACCTATCTTATCAAAAACACTATTAAAACATAACAGTAAGATTTTTAACATCCAATTTGGATAGATCATCCTTGACTAAGAACTCCCACAGGACAGCTGTTGAAGAATTTGAACATAGAGACAAACTTTAGGCTCCATCCCTAATATTTTACATATCCTACCCCTAAACTTGACATTTCCTATCATCCCATGGTTCTGTTATCCAGCCTTTGTCCTCTATGTTTTTCTCCAATCATCCTCATCACTTCTTTCATTACATTCTCTTGCCTTTCCACCTTCCATCAACAACATTTGCAGTGATTCCATCCAGTCCTGGTGCCTCAGACATTTTTAAGTTTGATAAGAGTATGTCTCACTCCTCACACTTCATTTTTTCTCATTCACCTTTCATTCCTAAACATTCCAAAACAGGATCATGGTCTCCCTTTTTTTCTCTGACATTTAGCAGCTGCTCAAAATAATTTCTCTCCATCTTCCTTTCACTTCTTGTTTTTTCCCCACAACTATTCCTCCTTCCCTTTTAAACTACCATTTCCATTTCTTGTCTTGGTTTTCTCACCCTACTCAGATGCCTCCAAACAGAACAAAACAAATAACATGAAATTATCAAAGAATTACATTAGAAATTAAATAATGTCCCTACAATGTATGTGTATACTTTGAGTACTTGTACCAATGACCATCTCTGATAAGTTTTGGAAAATTCATCACTCAATTTTACTGACAGTTTTGGAAAATTCATCACTCAATTTTACTGACAGGTTTTTACTCCTAATACTATTACTGATACTACTACTACTACTACAGTACTACTACTATAAAAATAATAAAAACAAAATCATGAATGAATATCTCAAAGAATTCAGAAAGCAACAGACAAAAACAGGACCAATTGAAATGTAATTCCTGTGACCTCCCCTTAACCTTTTTACTGTGGATGGCCCTTACATGCCCACTCCAACCCCCCCCCAAAAAAAAACACTGTAACTGGCCCATATACAGCCAATAAAATACAAAGAACCCACCCGTGGCATCAGAGATACCAACTAAGGTTACACTCAGTCAATTACTACCCACGCAGTCTTGCCATACATTGTTTTACAGGCATCCCTCAACTTACACAAGGGTTACATTCCTGAAAACCATCTGTGAGTCAAGGGACGCCTGTGTTATATCCGTTGTCTCTACCAGTCAGTTTTGATTAAGATGTTACAGAGGATAATATGATATCGTGGCACCTTAAGGTTATTCCCATATCACCCCCCTCCCCCCAAGACAGTAAGCAACTACCACCACACACTGATTCAGATGACCTGAGTGAGCTTTCTGACAGTGATTGGCCAAATTCAGAGCGACAGAGAGAAGAAAGTGACAGTACTGATAGTGAAACAGAAAACACTGATAACTGTGGCCACTAGCCAGCTCTTCACACACAGATGAAAGTGTAGGCATTTTGAAACATGCAATTTCAATACCTCTGATGAAACTTAAATAATATCTTCTCAACTATTACACCTACTAGTTCACGATTAAATATTTGAAAATACTCCACACAAGATATCAGTGTTGGGTCTTAACTAGGTCACTATGAATGATTTAAATAAATACTATACTGTATATTTATTGCCTCAGACTAGTGACCCTCTCTTGCCAGCCAAAAGGGTAACTCGTAAGTCCTACATACAATGCCCAGTTCCTATCAGTAAAAGTGGGTTGGTGATGGGAAGGGCATCCAGCTGTACAACTTGCTACAAATTACCATCAGGTATTCACAGCCAACCCATGCAATGAAGTTAAGTTCCCATTTACAGGTGGATGAACTAGGGCTGCCCTGGGCACAATCTAGTGATGCTTCAGACATGAATCAAGTGCTATACAGGGTATAAACTCAGCCACCACACCTCATTACCCCCACACTGGCAAGTTAAAAGTTTGTTTAAAAAAAAAAAAAAAAAAAAATTAGTAACTGCCTACATCTATTAATAACAGGCACTGGCAGCCTTCATCTAACACTGAAACTTATAAGAAAACTTGATGAACCATTTTTTTAGGTAATTTCTCTTCACATCTACTAAAACTACTGTTACTATTATGTATTACTACAATAAAAACGGATCCTATGAATTTCACAAAATATGCAGCTGATGTACAACATGTGATGGGAACATACAAGCATAGAAAGACTCTCATACGGAACCACCTAAGCATCGATATACTGTATATACATCATGTATACTAAGTGTTGTTAAGCTACACTGAAAACTGACACACTACACACACACACACACAAACACTTTTGTTAATCATATCCTACATCCCATCTAACCTGGCTGGAGTCAATGGGATAACAAGAATGATTAAATTTGTATATTGTATTTGGGAAGGACTTTTCATGTCATCCTTGTCCAGTATAAACTATGAAAACCCCACAATGCAGTCAAGCAGGACCCAAGGAACTCCATTAGAACTATTTAGTTCCACATGACTGTAATGCTGCTATATACAAGTCTATGAAAATCCACATTCACAATGGGCAAGTTTTTGTAAAATGTATAACAAAATACTGTATGTCCAAAAGCTAGTTATCTCTCTCATAAAAATTAAACAAAAGATAAAGATCAGGAGACATACTATTAACACAGGAGAACATAAACAAACACATTCCCCCACAACTGCTCTACAGTGGATCATAACAAGTGCCTCACAGGCCCAAAAATTTCTCGTTATACAAAGGCTATTATTAAAACAAGAACATTTACTTATGATGTCTTCAGTTACCAGTTCTGAGAACAAATATACTTGGCACACCTCAACTATCCCAATTAACCTAACCAGTACTGTCAGTTCAGTACTTTTAGCTAAATAAAACACACACACAATTTTCTTGTCTGCAATCACTCACTACTGGATGGCCATAACAAAAGCCTCCACATTGACCAATCACAGAACATTCTGTCTCTTCTCACTAACCCCCTTATCCACTCCCTTAGTCTCTCAATGCACCTGCTACAATGCTGTCTGTACTCCCTATAAATCCTCCCTATTCTAACATGTCCACCCTGAAGCCTTTCATTCAGAGCGCTTCCCCCCAATTCCAATTTGCTTACTTTAATTTTTATCTCGTCTCTATATATTTCTTCCTGTACTCTATTAAACTTTCCTCCTTTCTCCCTTTCTCAACCTGAGATAACTGCTTCTTCTTCACCAACAGGTACCAGTAACTCTTCAAATATTCCTCCTGCCTTCTTAATCTCTCCTCTAACACTCAGGTGCGATGGAATTTAAAAAGTTCTCAAATTACAAGGGAGTTTTTTTTATCAGAATGGGTCATGAAGAATAACTATTAACTCCTTTAATAAAAACAATTCCTCTGGCCAAACGCAACAAAAAAAATGAAAAAGAAGATCATAGGGAGATGAGATCACAACAGATGAGATGTGATGGACACACTCCTAATACAGTATAATACATTAACTTATATCAAACCATTGTTATGATGCATAGAGGAAACACAAGTGAACAACTGAGTTTAATATTCTTGCCCAGGAAGTAAAAAAAATCTCTAGAAAATTTTCCAAGCGAGCATTTTCAGCAGCAACACATCTCCCAATTCAATGTTCAACACTCCAAGTCCCAAATATTTAAAGGCGTTAATTTTCACACCAACGTTACAGTAATTTCTTTTGCTAATAGCAGTTTGAGGAGACCCAATCCAATTTTAGATCTCTGATATAATAGTCTTGGCTCTGGGGCTATACAGTCACTGAAGTGCACACACACACACACACACACACACACACACACACACACAGAGGTACTGTCATGTCATCCCCTTCACTTCCCTTGATGAGCCACCCGGATAAATTTAATTGCAATAATATCCCAGACATTGATCGGTCTGTGACCAACTGCAATGTGATGTGGAAATAGACATTTTTTCATAATCATTTCAAGACCCAGCTGAGAAAATAATCTGTCACACCACATCCTATGCTTGAAAAGAGAGAGAGAGAGAGAGAGAGAGAGGAGAGAGAGAGAGAGAGGGAGAGAGAGAGGGGAGAGGGGAGAGAGAGAGGGAGAGAGAGAGGGAGAGGAGAGAGGGAGAGAGAGAGAGAGAGAGAGAGAGAGGGAGAGAGAGGGGAGAGAGAGAGGGGAGAGAGAGGGAGAGGAGAGAGGGAGAGAGAGAGGGTGGAGAGAGAGGGGAGAGAGAGAGAGAGAGAGAGAGAGAGAGAGAGAGAGAGAGAGAGAGAGAGGGGAGAGAGAGGGGAGAGGGAGAGGGGGAGGGGAAGAGGGAGAGAGAGGAGAGAGAGAGGGAGAGAGAGAGAGAGAGAGAGAGAGAGAGAGAGAGAGAGGGGAGAGAGAGGGGAGGGAGAGAGAGAGGAGAGAGAGGGAGAGAGAGAGGGAGAGAGAGGTGGGAGAGAGAGGAGGGAGAGAGAGAGGGAGAGAGAGAGAGAGGGAGAGAGAGAGAGAGAGAGAGAGAGAGAGAGAGAGAGAGAGAGAGGGAGAGAGAGAGAGGAGAGAGGAGAGAGGGAGAGAGGGGAGGGAGAGAGAGAGAGAGAGGGAGAGAGAGAGGGAGAGAGAGAGAGAGAGAGAGAGGAGGAGAGAGAGGGAGAGAGAGAGAGAGGAGAGAGAGGGAGAGAGAGAGAGGAGAGAGAGAGAGAGAGAGAGGGGAGAGAGAGAGGGAGAGAGAGAGGGAGAGAGAGGGAGAGAGAGAGGAGAGAGAGAGGGGAGAGAGAGAGGGAGAGAGAGGAGAGAGAGAGAGGAGAGAGAGAGGAGAGAGGGAGAGAGAGAGTGAGAGAGAGGAGAGAGAGAGAGGGAGAGAGAGAGGGAGAGAGAGAGGGAGAGAGAGAGGGAGAGAGAGAGGGAGAGAGAGAGAGAGAGAGAGAGGGAGAGAGAGGGAGAGAGAGGGAGAGAGAGAGGAGAGAGAGAGGGAGAGAGAGAGGAGAGAGGGAGAGAGAGAGGGAGAGAGAGAGGGAGAGAGAGGAGAGGAGAGAAAGAGAGAGTTCTCCAAATGTATCATCACTAACATAATATATCTACACAGAATTCCACTATGTTTTAACACTCAAAACACTCCAGACAAAACTATACAGTTTTCAGAACTGGTTAGTCGACTAATGTCACTAAAGTGCTTAACTGTTATGTAATTAAAAGCGAATACTTTTCAATGTCTCTACAAGCTATATTTCTGAATTTGGCAAGCAGATTTCATATTGTCTACAACGTTGCTTCACCTTTTCTTGAGAACTTTATCACTGAAGTAAGTGGACAATTATTCGTCATCAATAAGGCATAATTCAATTACTTTTCTTACAAGTACTGTAGTTAGGAATGTCGATTGTTACTCGACAATATTTCTCCCGTGTGAGTTCTTTTTAAAATATTATCCTTAAGAACTCCATAAATGTCACACAGTGAGTAAAGCAATGACAAAAAAAAAAAAAAATAAATAAATAAATAAATATAAATAAATAATATATAAAGAGACTAGGTGGAGACAACGAGACAAAACATCTGCGTGCAAACCTTCACCTGCTCATTCCCTTGCACCTCAATTTTGTAGCCGGGCGGAAGAAAGGTGTTGAAGCCAACAATGAGTTCTGGGTGTCCACGGAAGAGCTGAGATACTCGTGCGATGACTCCTGGGGTGTCGATGGACTGCGATTTAAACTCTTTCATAATATCCAAAAAGTCATTGTAGACCTGCGGCTGCTTCCCAAACCTCAACTTCACCTGAAAGACAGAAAAACGAGGGTTAAGTTATGAAGATGCTCATCTACAGTATCTAATAACACAACAGTTCCTTCTAAGACCCATATGAGGTGAACCAATTAACTAATGAAAACTTCTGTATACATCAACTCATATTTGAGTATTCCATCCCTTGTAATCAAACCAGGACTGAATTTTCCATTTTCCATCCAAATTACTGTCCATCTAATCTTTACCCCCCCAAAACCAAAAACTAAACACTGCTTGACAGCTTTTCATGGTGGTCTGGCTACTTGTAAGTAATGCAGTTACAGTACAACTTCTTTACACTAAAAATAAACTAAAGGTCCTATTAGCTGCACCACTAAAGCACCATTTTTAACCGGCTGGGTAATGTGTTTTACGTGCTTCAAATAACTAAAGACTTCTACACGTGATCACATAGTTAATAATGTTATCTTTGGAAAATCCAGAAAAGAAAAAAATACAACAGAATTTACATATTTGCCCAGATAAGCTACACTCTGCAATGCAACAATGTGTTATAGATCATTACATTAGTGGCAGATATAAATAAAATCGATTCCAATACAACACTTTATCCCTATGAAGTAAAAATGGGCATCAGACAATAATCACCCTAAAATGTTTATCTGAGTAATTTAATAATGTACTTGGCACCTAATCTGGGGTTGGGTAGATATCACATGATCATTGACTAGACTGAGCTGACCCACAGTACTGTATACACTTCAAAAACAAAATAAACTTGACAACGATATTACCACCACACCCACTGATTATGAATTTTATCTTGACCTTTAAATAAGTTTCATAGAAGAGTAAATAAAGCTACAAGAATGACATTTACTAAGTCTGGGGCACAAACAGACTAATATCAGAACCACTATGCATATCCCCTCTTATTTATTGTCTCTCCTGTTCTTCACATTCACTATAAATCTTTACTAGTATACACAATACCCAATTCATTCACAAATACTTGTCCTTTCTTCCCCCATTATTCATTGAATTTGCACCCCACTTTCTTTCACCTCAATTCAATTTCAATTGTTTTGTTTCATCTCTTTGTTTTATTACCTCATCCCTGCAGTCATCTTTCACCAGAAACAAGAGCCTCTCTTATATGCTTCACTCTCCCTATAGCGAAAGACTCTGGGCAGCATCCCCAACAACTTCCCATTTATTCTACACAATCTCAGTACTTCCTATATAATTTTTCTATATATTATCTCATCATCTCTTCTCCAACAACTTTTCAATCATATTCTTTAATGCCAACACTTGACCCATATTGTACATCCGAATCTCTCTTATCTTAACTCTTTTCACTAGGTAATGCTTAGACTTTGTGTGCCTCTTCTCTCAGTACTTTCAAATTAATCTACTTAAATTTCAACCTTTTATCTATTATAATAACAACAACAAAAAGGCCTAATCAGATCTTTCAGTTCACATTTCAATAATTCTTTCTCCTTTTTCACTGATTCCAGGCAATCCACATTTTCCCACAATCCATTCCACTTTCCTATCAACAACTCATGCATTCAATTACCCATCATTATCACTACCTCCCAGTGTCCCCCACACTCCTTTCTTTCCTCCTGCCTGGTGCTCAAGTACTGTACTTACATTAAATTAATGTCTTCTTGAAAAGTGCCTTGTAAAGTCAACTGAAAAATTGCATTATCAATGAGCCATAACCATTCATTTAGTATGGATGAGTTAACTGACCCATTCAACCATTTTCCACCAATAAACCTCACTAGTGGTTGAAAGGCCTTAACTTGAAGGATAAAGTAGAGTTTGTTTATTGCAACAATGTACACAAATAAGATATACCGTACCTGATCTAAGTAGGAAAGCGCATCCTCAACTTTCAATCTCTGAAACTGCCCAGAACCTTGTGTGGCCCCAGCTGCTGCTGCTGCAGCAGCTACTGCTGCTGTTTGGTGTACCACGCTTGCAGTGCCCACTCCCGAGACCTGTAAGAAATAATCAACTGTAATAACATTTACTTAAAGCATTTGATGACAACAAATACATCCACATGGAAGTAAGAAGGGGTGTTGTGAGTGACTCATTTCCCTATATTATACTGTACTGTAATCAGTCTTTCTACTAGTGTGCCCTCTACTGCTGTGACCTAGGGTTGTCAAAGTCATGAGCAACACAAGACTCCATTCATTCTAGCTGCTGCAACAGATGCATTCTGCCTTAGTGTTCCTCTTCCACATGGCTCTGGTTTAATCCCATGACATCATACAACCCATTATCATGCATCAGCAGAACATCCAACCCTACATACCAATCATCACAGTGCTTCCCAATTATACACAACCAGCACTGCTTCCACGACTTCCATTCCCCATCTTATTGGCCGTTGCCTGTCTCTTGTACAGTCTCACCCAAAAGTTCGTTAACTCTCCCAGCCAGCTATTGCTGCACTGCCTGCTTCAGATGTATTAACTTGAGTCTGTTACTTCAAACCTTTAGATTCATTTGTATTGGTTTCATGTTCTGGTTGGTACTGGACCGAGACAGTTTCAAACATCTGAAGCAGGCAGTGCAGCAATAGCTGGCTGGGAGAGTTAACGAACTTTTGGGTGAGACTGTACCATCCACACCTGACTAATACATGCACCTGTTTTACTAATCCTGTTCTTCCCATTCTCTGCCTGATGCTCCTCTCACTTCAACATCTTAATTCCATTTTCTTACTTTGGCCATTTACCCCACAAATAGTTCTCTGGGACACCATTTCTGTCCCTTCACATCAGATCCAAAGCTTCACACCCTTACAATATCTCCATGTCAGTCCCTTTGACACAGTTTGCTCTCTCAACACATCTCTCGGTGCAACTTTTACGCTATGGTTCAATTGACACATCCACTCCCACACACTTTAAATATACACTTCAAGTTCCAACATTCATTCTTCCTTTCTCTGGTCACTTCCATCACTTTAAATTTTAACAAAATTTACTAGTCATGTCTTCAAGTGCTGTACACACTCTTCAATACTCATTAACTAACATTTACAACTTCCCCCTGAATTATCCATCAGATCAAGGTCCTCTGATCACACCAGCTGACTAACACCCAATCTGCACCCTTTACCCCTATCTTTCAAACTTGTATCCCTTCCATCACACACACACACATTACTATATTCATATAATGTTTATAAACCGATTCATTACATTTTAATCAACAATAATCTGTAACTTAATACAGTACAAGAAATCTACTTTTCCTGTAACAATAAAAATGTATGTTTAACCTTGGTTAACTCTGCTGTCCAAAGCTAACTAAAGAATTCATGGGCTCAGAGTGCAGAGTTTGAGTGCAAGGTTAGGTTTCCTTGGTTAGCAATGTCACAGCTGAGTTATTGACCAAGGTTCTGCCTACTTTTAGCCTTATTAACAAAAATGACAGCTTAGGGAGATGGACTGTGGACTGTTTACTTAGTGAGTTCCACCACCAATGGTGAAGATCATAGGTGACTAATGTTTATCACTAAATAGCAGAAATGAGAACCCATGTGGACTTCTATCAATTGTACAAGATGCTTTGACAAATATATATGGTTATTAAACTATATTGTCTTTGTCAGTTTGCTATCTGACAAAAACCAAACAATAATGAGCTGTCATTATTGCCAAGTCAGCAAAAGTGGGTAATCCTTAGCTGATAGATCAGTTAATTAATGGAGATAATAACAGTCTAAAGAAATAATCCAACATGCACAGTACAGTACCAAGAATTTCAGTAAAATAATAAGTCTTACACAGTTTTATGCGATCAGTCAATTTTGCCTATCTATTTAAGTGCTGTACATGAATGTATACATTTATAAATATTGCATGCTTATATAAATAGGCATACATGCACACACATGCAAGCATGCACATAAGCATCACACTCTCTTGGAGGAAACAGACATTACCAATTTTTTCTTCATTTCAAACATATTATATACACATTCAACATATCCATCAAAAAGCAGTGCTATATTCCATGCAAAAACCTTAGTACAAGTACAGTATTGACAAATTTCTTATGTAAACATTATATGTGAAGCAGCCATTTTTATTACACAAGCAGTGCTATCTATCATTAATCAATATATGATCATATTTACATTACTGATAATTTCAGTTCATGTGTAATAACATCACTCCCCACAATAGCTGTTTTATGTCTTACACACATCATGTTTACAATTTGTTCATTTCATAATTTAAGTTTAGGTTTTCAGCTTGAAATCTATGAAGGACTTCAGAAGGCATGCAAGTGTGAAGAATTAAGTAAATTTACATCGATATAATGGAAAAGAAATATCATGGAAGGTACTGGAGGCTACAAGATACAAGTACTTTACCATAACACTGGTGTAGCTAAACTTTAAAGCAAAACATTAGCGACCAAATGTACAAGTTTGACTCGCATGCTTCTTCATATACCTAAATCCTCAATTACGACCAACTCAAGCAACTACCTTTAATTTCTGGTTAGATTTAATACATTAGAACAAGACCCAGTTTAAAAGTCCTCCTGAAAGTGTCTACAGGACCACCATAGAATATTATGTGCCAACAGTGGGTTGAGAGGATGCTGTGAGCGTACCTTGTGGCGCACCTGGGAGTGGGCAGACACGTGTTGGAGGACAGATGGGGGCGGTCCTACTCCACCCGGGGCCACTAGCCCACCCGCTCCACCCACAGAACGCCCTTCCACCACGCCCGACAGACCATCACCCTACCACAATAACAAAGTCACACACAAATACACACACATGCACACCCACTTAAGAGGCTCCTAATAATTAATGCATGAAGCATTGGTCTTAACTTTCAAGTTAGCAATGGCCCAAATGGTTTGCTCAGTTGGCACGGTTTCCATAAGCAGAAGGAAAGTTACTATAACTTTAATCATTAAAAGTGACATAATATATACAATGTGAATAAGCTTGGGGACTTAATTCTGCCAACAAAGCTAACCATAGCATAATGTTATTACTTCTGGAAGCATCTCAGTAGCTCACATCATTTTTTTTTCTAAAACCTTAATTATCTCAGTGATAAGCCTCAAAAACTTAATCTTTTCAAAAGTGGATTATGAAACCAATGCTGTATAAGCACAATTAGCATAAGCCATGTTAATCTAAGAACTAAACACACACACACACACAAACAAACACACCTTTGTTTACAAAATCCAGTACAGGATATACTTTTTGGGTTCCAGGAGGGAGGGAAAGCTTATCAAGCTAATGAAATTATAAATAATAAAAAAAGACATGGCGGTATTAACCCTTTTGTATGGATGTGACACCAAGTGTTAAAACTACCACAAGTATTCGTGGGTCCAGTAGGAGGAATGAACGATGAATGACAGGTTTGTAGAGATGATTTATAGCAGTGGAGTGATAGATGGGTGGGAGAAAGATGAATTGTAATAATACGAATCACCTAACAAACTGCCATGGTCAAGGAATCTTAAACAATACAAATACCTGTAGTAAATTATATGATCAAGTTGTGTCAGTTTAAATTCATATTTCTTCACACAAGCCACGGAATTTCCCCCGACCTTTACACTCAGGTGCTGTACAGTACTGTAGGTCACCGGAAAATTTCAAAACATGTGCCATGACTATAGCACAGTACTTTAAATATGTGACCAGAACCACCAAGATGAAGAATTTGAAAGTGGATTTCCCCCACTAACAATGCAAGAGCTTTTTACAAAATTTTTGACAAAATTGTGCCTTCAGGCGAATTCTGAAGTTCAAATGGTCACTTTGCCTAAAATTCAAAACTCCATATAACAGTACAGTAAATATTTTGATAAGGGACTAAATAATATATGCTGTCATATCTCTTTCTTGGGGCTGCTAAGCAAGTTACTTGGCAGAGGTTGATTAAGTGCACCGAATAAAGATTTCTGATGTGACCCTTCGACATGACGTGGTCAATCAATATGATGATACTGTTGCTGTACTTAGTCACTTCCTCACACAGAACAGCAGGATGGCTTCCCCTTTGTGTTAGGTTTATAGTAGTGTGTACTAATTACAGTTCAAGGATCCTTTATCCACAATTCAATTATCACCCTGGCTCTCTTCATGTCTCCCTTATCAAAAATTCTAGTCATGAATTCTGTCTTTGTGATTCATGTCCATCTGAGTTCCAACACTGAAAACTGCACCACAGTTGGGCCTCTAAATCTGAGACACAAATGTGTAGTCAAATTAACACAGGATCAAACCTGAATCTACCCCCTTATGTAGCAGAAAGTGCTGTACAGTATGTCCTTGGACCAATGAAGCTTCGTGCTATGGCAAAGTAAACCAAACTTGAATGAGAGAATGAATAAAATGAACAAAGCGCTTTCAAACAGCTGCCAGACTCATACCTCCATTTTTTATGTTCCAACAACATTTGCACAATTCACCGGGATCCCAAAACTAAGATCTGAATATGGAAACTTTCATTGAATCTACAAGTTGATGACATTCCTGTTTAGTTGATTGTAATTTTTTTTCCCGACATAGACAAGGCTTCTGATTTCATGACTAAGAATGTGTAGTACTGTAGTAGAATTTATTGGATGATATATAACGGCAAAAGATATAATTTCATGGTTGACGAATGTGGAGTGGCATGAGAGAGCAACGAGGCAATCTGACATAAACCTAGTCTCAAAGAGGGTTGAAATAAAAGCATAAAAAGTGCTAATAAGCTACAAACCTGAGAATAGCAATTTGTGGAATGAATTTCAGTTTCTAAGAGAGATTGGAGGCACAGATACAAGAAGAACGAGTGTGTTATGCGGGGAGGCAGGGGAACTTTTCCACGAAGAAGTAACCAAATAATCCTTCAAGTCTTCAGAATGTTTGAGGGAGGGGAGGGAAGGGGAGGGAAGGACTTATGCAGGATGGGAGAAATTTGCTAGATTACATTTACAGATAAGAACCTATAAATATAATACTTTTCAATAACTCTTTAAGCCCCCTTGCTACACTCCTCGTACACAAAGAGGGTCTATGTATCTTTATGTAATAGCCCCCACATACAGTTATTCCATTACATATTAACACTAATAACCCACATAAGTAGACATCTAATTTACCTGTCTGCATTTAAATCTTGGAAATAATCACTTCCTTTTTCATTAAAATATAAAACAATGTTACATTTCTTAAACCCTTCATTACCACATGGCTGAATCATCTCTCATGCATATGACAGCCAAATACACATCCAGCCATTCTGCACAGCCCAGCAATCATACTCGAGTATTTTCGGTTATAGTCACGCACCATAGGAAAATTAATGTCCTCCTCTCCTCTAGGCGCGGGAATCACAAATCAACGAAGAGAAATTAACATCGCAGGAATCAGTTTAATATTCATACACCATACAGTGTGTTAAGATACTCTACATCGTTGTTGCAAAAGAATTTAGCGCATAACACCCAGGCATATGGGATCGATGAGTACTGTACTGTCAATCAAACTCTTGTGTGTTGCACTTGGCTTTCCCTACATGAATATTCAACTGACTTTTTCAACTGGTGTTAATTTCATTGTTAATTTGTTATAATTCCTTCACATGAAACAGGATGGAGAGAAAGAGGCACATTCATTTCCCCATGGTGTGAGACCTATGAGACACCCTATACAATACAATATTGTTAGAGCAGTTATTAGAACGTGCAAACCGGTACCAATTTTGCCCAATAAGCTTTGAATAACTTTATATATACAGTACAAGAAAAAATATTTCTTTCAACTAACTGAATGGCAATCAAATTTAGTCCAAAACAGTTTTAAATCAGGCAAAATAACTGTATAACATAAAAATTCCAACATTTTCCCACAGCTTGTAATGTTACTAAATGTTCTTCAACTGACAAAAAATACATAAATTTTCCCACTGTATCTGATGTGTTTGAAGCTTCACGTCACAAACACAAGATATGGGAAAACTACCTCAAATATTGTGTTGATTTTACCACAGATTTCAATATTGTACAGCATAGTGTAAGATTTTGTCAGCGTTCTTCTTCAACATCAACCAGATCATGGAGAATCCACTTTGCTGGTTCAGATGTGTTAGTCATACCTTTATACCCCACTAGATGTATGTACTATAGATGCACAAAAATTTTAGTGGTTTAAGAAATAATAACCGATTATTATTGACCATTTCATCATCCTGTTAATTGCATGCTAAATTCTGAACCAAAAGTAAATCAGGGAATACTTAACACAATAATTTGGCTGTTACGGAAAAGTTATGGTGCTAAAATTAAGTTGTATTAGGTGAGAATATTAATCCTTCTTTTTTATAACTGTGTCAACGAACCATTTCCTCCCAAAACTGTGGTGTTGTAACTAAAGTAATAAAAAATTTCTGAAAAGTATCTGACACTGGTTTTAATACCTTATGAGGTGGTGTGAGGGATAAAATGACTTGTTACAATATTTTCTCATTTAAACTCAATCTAAAAATTAAAATCTTAATTGCAAGAAATGTACTGTACATAACAAAATCTAGAGCTTTGCCCCGGCACATCATGCCATGCACAAGGCAAAATTTGTATGCAACCATTCAATTTTGTGGCTTTACTGAATAACAATTCCAGTTGTCAGTTGTTTATCTTTAAGGCAAATCCAAATTTATTTTGACTGGGTAAAGGGTTTGAAAATCATAATGAATATAAGCAAACCCTACAAACACAGTGTAGCCAGCAGACATGAGGAATAAAAAGGTGTCACTCCAAGGGCTCGCTCTCATTGCTTTGAGGGTAAGGAAGAGGTTAATATTATATCACTTCAACAGAACTAAAACTTAAAATACAACATTTGATGTCATTGTGGGTAGACTCACCTGGGGCTGGGGTGCAGTAGGCAGACTAGCTGAGTATGCAGGAAGTGTGTGATGAACCCCAGTATGCATTTCTACTTTGCCTCCGGCATAACCTGCAAGAACTGAACACACGTTAATTAGCTGTGCAACAATTATATTTTCATCTAAAACAGCTATTACACTATAGTTTTAAAGTATGAATCCTTCAATGAACACAGCAAGATTGATGACTCAAGTACCCACTCAGCTCCCCTCAAGTTGGCAAAGCCTACTGTATACAGTACCTATACACAGAACTAAAGTATGTAACATTCAATGTTTGACTGATGTGCCTACACCATTAATTCCTATCCACACTTTTAAGCACAGCAAACTAATTACTGTAAAGGTATTAATCTTTTATAAGGTCCATGAGAGAGAGAGAAATCAACACTACACACTGTGACTGTTAAGGAGCTGTGTATTGAATTTGGTGCTGTTTGTGGCAATTGAAATCCTTAGCACTACCAACAGTAACTTTGAAATTAGAAGTACTTGTACTTCATAAAGTATCAAGTTTTTACTCTGTTAAAGTGGTGTTTTTTTTGTTTTTTATGGGGATTTGCCCACCCGGGCACAGGTCACTGACCCACATCGGGGCCTGGGGGGGCGAAAATTTAATAATAATAGTAATTCATAGTAATATGAGGGGCAACTAACAGTGAAACTTGCTTCAAATTTACCTGTTGGTAACCGAGACACCATGCCATCAGATAATCATAGCCCACGCAGTGTAGAAAATGGTCATAAAAAGGTTATGATGATGCTGTTAATGTTATATGATATATAACACCATAAATTTGGAGGTGCCCGATGTGAGGGAAGCATCTGCGCTACATGCTGTAGTCTGCACAGCCTTAATTATCACACAAGGGGATGGACATTTACGGTTACTAACCAACAAATAACTTCCATAGAGAAAAATCTGTTCTCAACAAATGCGTCAATTTCTGTACACAAATCAGCACCTCTTGAGTGTAAACAAAAATAAATGTGTGCATAAGTTTCTTAAAATGAACATTTAAGTAGAAAAATGTGATACAGTATTGCATTTTTCTCGAACCCAAAAGTTGTAAAGTAAACGAAGTTTCACCATTATAAGGGAAGCATAGTTTAAAAGGTCTGAAATAGGATGAAACAGATAGGCCCATGGCCAAAAATAGGTAGAGAACAGAGATACAGTATTTTAATCAGTGGAAATTTCATTGACTGGTCAATAATTGTGGATGCTTTATCATTGACTTCAGACCAAGACCTTTCCTCCTCCTTCCTGCCTGTTTAGATGTATGCCAACCAGTTAGGAATTTTCTATAATGATTGGATGAAAATTGTAACTGTAAGGAGGGGAGAGAAAAAATCATGGTGTCTTGTTCAAGGTATAAAAAAAAGCATCTTCTAGGTCCAGATGTGAAAATTCGGTAAAGTTTGGATAATGATCACTGACACTAATGAGTAGAAAAATTTTTAATGACCTTTGACCTGGTCCTTAGGCAGTCAGCAGAGTACAATGGTTGGGAGTGCTGAAATGTGGTCCTTATACATGTGTGAAACTTTCATATCAATCAGTTAACGATTGTGGATGATCCCTGGCATGGGGTAACCATCATTAACGAGTTCTGACCCTGACCAACGTCTTTTGTTCATTATTAATGAACTTGATCTGCATTTATGGAAACAAAAACAGACAAAAGACATTATCATATCACATCAGAGGTGAATAAGGCTTTTACCTCTGACCTTAACCTTTGACACATCATCCAGAATTTGATGTGAGGATATATATTGAAGAACAGTTTCAATATAATACATACATGTCTCTCAATACAACTACAGTATAATGCTCTGAGCAAGACCTGACCTTTAACATCTAGTGTGGTACAGTACTCACATGGTGTTGTCAAAATACTGGACATATACATATTTGTGTAAGGTTGCAGTTAAAATCTCAGAACATGAGTAATACTACTATACTCAGTACAGCAAAAGTTAAACTACAGACAGAATGTATTAATTAGAATGTTAGCATCTTGTTCATTATGTTATGCTGTTCAGAGCAGTAAAGCGAGTGCATATAATTAGTTTGATGACATTACAAGGCCTTAAAAAAAGTTTACATAAGTTTACCAAAACATCAACTGAACCGAATTTAATTATCAAAATCATACAAAACATTATCTATCATATATGGAATTCAAATCCCTTTGCAAATAACATTTACTTGGTTACTTCAAGAGGTGTATGAGTATATTGCATATGTAAGAATCTATAGGTAACTGTCGGTAACAGTTGAAGCAAGATCTATTTTGACGTTAAATAATTGAAAGCACTGTTAGAATAAAATGTCAACTCAGTTTTCAGATGTGACACTAACTGTTAGGGAAGATTTGGCATTAAGACAAGTTTTTATAGTCAAAAGAAAATGGAGTCTTAATGTAACATTTTTAATGAATTTCTCGATAAAAGATATTTTCTTTGTGATTTCAAGAGCACATATGTTTTTATCATATTTAAAGATAAGTTATTTTATACAAACAAATTTAATATCCATATACAGTATGATAAATAATGTTCTGCGTGATTTTAGATTCATTAATAAGACTTCCAAAAGCCATGAACTTTCCTCATTCAAAGTATCTGACCAAAGTTTCTCTGCCCGCAAAAGCTAAAAACAGAAACTTGGTACAGTACCCCCCAAAATTAAGAAGGCTATTTTTTTTAAGCCAACCTGGACACCTTTCCAACCTACTGTCCTTCGTTGCCCACCTCCCGACACACTTTGCCCCATCACCCTTGTTCTGAGCATACAGTATCTTGTCAATAGAGACATATAAACCATCTGAGCCTTCTGATTTGGGACACTCATTCTCAATAAGGACTCTAAAACAACCAGATGCCATGAAAAGGTATAGAAGAATTCTGCCTGAACTTTCTTTACAGAATTTCCGTACATCTTACTAAATCTCTAACTCATAAGCTGGAACCCAATGGGCGAGCGAGTCATCACCGCATCACCACACTGACCGCCGAGAAATCAGTAAGGTTTGTAGAATGTTTTGGATTTAAGCATCATCCTAGAACTGGGACAATGTTGAGCCTCTCTTATCATTCCAATTCCACTTTCTGCCAACAAGTCCAGCTCAGTACTCCTTCACCTAAACTTTCCCTCTACAGGTTGAACCTCAACTTAGCAACACTGGATTTACCAGAAACTCACATTTAACAGCAAAATTTAGAGATCATGAATTTGAAAGACCCTCCTGTAATTTCCACTAGTTCCTCTACCTGATGCAATGCTCCCACGGAACTGCAGTCAGTTTGTTTTGGCATTGAAGTCCAGCTGGTGCTGTGCTCATTCGTATGCCTTAAATTTCAACTTTCTTTGTATCAATTATGGCCTCTAAACGACCTGAAAACCATACCTGAGTTGTCAGTGAATAAAAGAATAGTTTCCCTGAACATAGTACAGAAACTAGACTGTGGAGTGTTTAAGTTTTAGCCCCTCCCCCCATACTCCGATTTAACGGCACGGTCCAGGTCCCTCCAACGCCGTTAAAATGAGGTTCTACCTGTACTGTAGTCCAGGAGTACCCTGAATTCCCCGATGCTCAGCACTAATTTAAACTCACGAACCTGAAGCCTCCAGAACCAACACACAAAACACATCTCTCCCATAAAAATCACTTCATTTACACTGAAGCACAATACAATACTGTACAGGTACAATTCATCTACACCGGCGATTAATTATAATTTCTCAATAGAAAGACGGGATCACCTGAATATTAGCCCTTCCCACAGCTTATTTGACTTAAGATTAACCACCCTAATGTTAACCTAAACCCCCCAGGTAGAGTGAAGATGTTTAAACATATGGAAAAATACACTAGAAGGGAAGAGGGAGGAGGATGCTAATCTTAGGTAACCCAAAAAGAAGAATAAGTACTATAAAATCTCACCGCAAACGACATTCACAGTAAACAAAAAAATTGACGTACAGAACATAAACTCATCACGAAATCATGACGCAAGATTTAAGGGTTACCTGTTGATTAAACCCCACGAGTGTACAGTGCAGTATAGGGTCGGAGTGAACTGTAGTGAAGAGGAGAGATAAGAAAAGTGATATGGAGAAAAGAGGAAACGTGGAGAAGAATCAGAATAAAAATAAGTAAGAGGGGAAAAGTCTGCCTTCTATTCACCAAGTAGCGATCTACGATTGCACAAAACTACCAAAGCACGACAATAATTTGAACTGATAGGACACTACAAACACAAGACAAACTGTTAACTTCAATTAAATGAAAAGAGGATCACCTGAAGACTAACACCTACCTCAACTAATTTTACCTTAATTGCCCAGTAACCTAACCTAACCCAGCCCAACCCCCCTAGGTTGTGTTTAAATCACCAGGTAAAATAACCAGAGGGGTAAGAGAGATAAACATATAGGTGAGGGAGGAAGACAAGTTAGCATTAGAGATTTTTAACTTAACCCTTTGTCTCCAATTACTTAATGACGATGCCTAACCAGTTTCAAATGAACCCCTCCAAATTGTAAGACTAGTGGCTACATGCACAGCCTTGAGTGGCTTTAAGGAGCCTAACCAATTTCACTCGTATCAATCCACAAAAAAAATGTACAACTACACAGGTTGACAAAGTTTAAATCCAATATTCTATTTTAAGTAATTTACCTTGACCTCTGAAGCTACTCTAAAAATTATACATATTTCTTGAGCCACAAAGATGTCTACCTGTTTCAAGTTAATTAATACTAAAAGGTAAAACTATTATGCTGACAAACTTCAGTTCAACACCAGAGTTAGAGCTACAGCATGGATTGTCTTGGGTGATAACAAATTTGGGGAAAAAATTATAAACAAAAATTAACACCCCAGACAGTCCATCACAGAGACCAACATGCATCCCCAAGACAACAGTAAACTGTACAGGTATTCACTCAACTACAATTAAACTTTTTATAACTGTACACAATGGTGACAATATATTGGCATCATAATCCATGAAGACCAGTGTGGTCTGCAACTCACCCGACTGAGGTGCTGGATTATGAGGTTGGTGATCAAGCGGTGTGGGTGCACCACCGACTCCCTGACCAGCAGTGGTGGTGGGCACAGGTACCACGCCAGGCACAGGTGTTCCAATCGTAGCAGCAGCTACCGCCGCCGCCGTTGCCACTGGTGTCGTTGGCTGACCAGGACGGGCACCCAACTGTGTGATTGTGGGTCCTCGTACGTAGCCCCCAGGGCCCCCTTAAACCCCCCCAGGGCCACCAGTAACCCCCTGCCCGCCCTGGGCGAGTCCCCAACAACTCCCCAGCACTCACGATGCCTGACACTGCCTCGCCCCGACCACAGAGATCATCAACACGACGTTTCATCACGCACTACATTACACCTGCAACAAAAAAGAAAAGTGTTAAACTGTAAAGGAACTAAAACTTGTCAGACATCTTAATGTAGAAGTAGTTTGCATACTTCTCAAATATAACAACATGGAAGGCAGAAAACTACCCAGTGTTTTCCTTGGGTTCATTAAGTGGGGTCTTAATATTTGTCAAGTCACTTGAGTTAGGCATCTACAAAATAAAATAAAGGTTTGTATAAAAGATAGGCATTGTACTCTCACTGTTTGATCAAAAGCCAAGTTAATGTTTCAATCAAACTATAAACATTTATTTTACACATAACTACTGTACATTTTATTGTTTATGTTAATATAATCACTTATTCTACATAATTATATAAATACATGTACGGTACATATAAACACTTATTTTACATGTAAAAATAAACACTTTTCTGGCATATCCAAATATGGGTTGAATACACAAACTAAAAATAATTCAGTTTCGGTTAAACAGAAATCAATGGTCCTACTTTTTGTGTGCCACTATGAAAATTTCCCTCGCCCTTTCACTACTGGGACGCCACTTTTAACATTTTATTTGGCTAACATGACACACGATTTTATTCAGCTGGGAGGGGACACTGTACACAAGTGGTCAAAATTAACTAACATTATTGGGGACCAGGTGTAACTTTATGGGGTCATGTGGTGGTGGGGTCATGTGGGTGGTGGGGGGTGTGGTGGGGGGTGTGGTGGGGGGGTGTGTGGTGGGTCGTGTGGGGGGTGTGTGGTGGGTCGTGTGGTGGGTCGTGTGTGGTGGGTCGTGTGTGGGTCGTGTGGGGGGTGTGTGGTGTCGTGTGGTGGGTCGTGTGGTGGGTCGTGTGGGGGTCGTGTGGGGGTCGTGTGGGGGGTCGTGTGGGGTCGTGTGGGGGTGTGTGGGGGTCGTGTGGGGGGTGTGTGGGGGGGGGGGTGTGTGGGGGGGTGTGTGGTGGGTCGTGTGGGGTGTGTGGGGGGTGTGTGGTGGGTCGTGTGGGGGGTGTGTGGTGGGTCGTGTGGGGGGTCGTGGGGGGGTGTGGTGGGTCGTGTGGGGGGGTGTGGTGGGTCGTGTGGGGTGTGGTGGGTCGTGTGGGGGGGTGTGGTGGGTCGTGTGGGGGGTGTGGTGGGTCGTGGGGGTGTGGTGGGTCGTGTGGGGGTCGTGTGGGGGGGGTCGTGTGAGGTCGTGTGGGGGGTGTGGTGGGGGTGTGTGGGGTGGTGGGGGTCGTGTGGGGGGTCGTGTGGGGGTGTGTGGGGGTCGTGTGGTGGGGGGTCTTGTGGGGGGTGTGGTGGGTGTGTGGGGGGTGTGGTGGGTCGTGTGGGGGTGTGGTGGGTCGTGTGTGAGGTGTGGTGGGTCGTGTGGGGTGTAGTGGGTCGTGTGGGGGGGTGTGGTGGGTCGTGTGGGGGGTGTGGTGGGTCGTGTGGGGTGTGGTGGGTCGTGTGGGGGGTGTGGTGGGTCGTGTGGGGGGGGTGTGGTGGGTCGTGTGGGGGGGGTGGGTGTGGTGGGTCGTGTGGGGGGTGTGGGGGTCGTGTGGGGGGGTGTGGGGTCGTGTGGGGGGTCGTGTGGGGGTGTGGGTGGGTGTGGGGTGTGGTGGGTCGTGTGGGTGTGGGGGGGGTGTGGTGGGTCGTGTGGGGGGTGTGGTGGGTGGTGTGGGTGTGGTGGGTCGTGTGGGGAGTGTGGTGGGTCGTGTGGGGTGTGGTGGTCGTGTGGGGGGTGTGGTGGGGGGTGTGGTGGGGGGGTGTGGTGGGGGGTGTGGTGGGGGGTGTGGTGGGGGGTGTGGTGGGGAGGTGTGGTGGGTGTGTGGGGGGGTGTGGTGGGGGGTGTGGTGGGGGTGTGGTGGGGGTGTGGTGGGGGGTGTGGTGGGGGGGTGTGGTGGGGGGTGTGGTGGGGGGGTGTGGTGGGTGTGTGGGGGGTGTGGTGGGGGGTGTGGTGGGTGTGTGGGGGGTGGGTGTGTGGGGGGGTGGGTGTGTGGGGGGGTGTGGTGGGGGGGTGTGGTGGGGGGGTGTGGTGGGGGGGTGTGGGTGGGGGGTGTGGTGGGGGTGGTGGGTCGTGTGGGGGGTGTGGTGGGTCGTGTGGGGGGGGGGTGGGGGTCGTGTGGGGGGGGTGTGGGTCGTGTGGGGGGTGTGGTGGGTCGTGGGGGGTGTGGTGGGTCGTGTGGGGGGTGTGGTGGGTCGTGTGTGGGGGTGTGTGGGGGTGTGGTGCTGGTCGTGTGGGGGTGTGGTGGGTCGTGGGGGGTGTGGTGGGTGTGTGGGGGTGTGGGTGGGTGTGTGGGGGGGTGTGTGGGTGTGTGGGGGTGTGGTGGAGTCGTGTGGGGGTGTGGTGGGTCTGTGTGGGGGTGTGGTGGGTCGTGTGGGGGTGTGGTGGGTCGTGTGGGGGGGGTGTGGTGGGTGTGTGTGGGGGTGTGGGGGTGTGGTGTGTGGGGTGTGGGGTGTGTGTGTGGGTGTGTGGGGGGTGTGGTGGGTGTGTGGGGGGGTGTGGTGTGTGGGTGTGGTGGGTGTGTGGGGTGTGGTGGGTGTGTGGGGGGGGTGTGGGTGGGTGTGTGGGGGGTGTGGTGGGTCGTGTGTGGTGGGTTGTGTGGTGGGTGTGTGGTGGGTGTGTGGGGTGTGGTTGGGGGTGTGTGGTGGGTGTGTGGGGGGGTGTGGGGGTGTGGTGGTGGGTCGTGTGGGGTGTGGTGGGTCATTAGCATTTGGGTGGTCAATATTGAGTGGGGTGTGTGGTGGGGGTGTGGTGGGGGGGTGTGGTGGGGGTGTGGTGGGGAACAATTGGGGGGGTGTGGTGGGGTCGTGTGGGGGGGTGTGGTGGGTCGTGTGGTGGGGGTGCTGGTGGGGGTGTGGTGGGGGTGTGGTGGGGGTGTGGTGGGGTCGTGTGGGGGGTGTGGTGGGTCGTGGTGGGTCGTGTGGGGGGTGTGGAATTGGTGTGGTGGGTCGTGTGGGGGTGTGCTAATTGGAATAAATGCTTAGGGGTGTGGTGGGTCGTGTGGGGGTGTAGTGCAGGTCAGGCGTAACAGAGGTGTGGTGGGTCGTGTGGGGAGGTGTGGGTCAGTGTGGGGGGTGTGGTGGGTCGTGTGGGGTGTGGTGGGTCGTGTGGGGGGAGGTGTGGTGGATGTGTGGGGGTGTGGTGGATGTGTGGTGGGTCGTGTGGTGGGTCGTGTGGGTGGTGTGGTGGGTCGTGTGGGGGGGTGTGGGGGGAGTGTGGTGGGTCGTGTGGGGGTGTGGTGGGTGTGGGGGGGGTGTGGTGGGTCGTGTGGTGGGTCGTGTGGGGGTGTGGTGGGTCGTGTGGGGGTGTGGGGGGGTGTAATTGGGTCATGTGTGGTGAGATTCTCGTGTGGGGGGTGTGTGGTGGGTCGTGTGGGGGGGGGTGGTGGGTCGTGGGGGGGGTGTGGTGGGTCGTGGGGGGGGTGTGGGGGTCGTGGGGGGGTGTGGTGGGTCGTGGGGTGTGGTGGAGTCGTGGGGGGTGTGGTGGGTCGTGTGGGGGGGTGTGAGGTCGTGTGGGGGGTGTGGTGGGTCGTGTGGGGGGTGTGGTGGAATAAATGTGGGGGAGTGTGGTGGGTCATTATTGATGTGGTGGGTCAGTAAAGTGTGGTGGGTCGTGTGTGAGGTATGGGGAGTCGTGTGGGGGTGTGGTGGAGTCGTGTAGAGAGAGTGGCAGTGAGTCGTGGCTGAAGTGTGGTGGAGTCGTGGGGGGTGTGAATTAGATTTTGTGTCAGAGGAATGGGGGGTGTGGTGAGGTGTGGTGAGAGAGACTGTGGGGGGGTGTGGTGGAGTCGTGTGGGGCTGTGGTGGGTCGTGTGGGGGTGTGGTGGGTCATGTGTGCAGTGTAGAGTGTGGGGTCGTGTGGGGGGGTGTGGGGGGGGTGTGAGGCAGGTCGTGTGGGGGGTGTAGTGCAGAGTCGTGTGAGAAGTGTGTGGGTCGTGTAGAAGTGTGGTGGAGTCAATGAAGTGCTGTGGTGGGTCTGTGGGGGGTGTGGTGTTGAGTCGTGTAGGGGTGTGGGTCATTGCAGGGGGGTGTGGTGGGTCGTGTGGGGGGTGTGGTGGGTCGTGTGAGAGGTGTGGTGCAGATGGAGTCAGTGTGGGGGGTGTAGTGGAGTCGTGTGGGGGGGGGGTGTGGTGGGTCGTGTGTCCAATGTGGGGTGTGGGGGGGTGGTGGGTCGTGTGGGGGGTGTGGTGGAGTCGTGTGGGGGTGGTGGGTCTCCTCGTGTGGAGAGAGAGTGGTGGGGAGTTGGGGGGTGTGGTGGTCGTGCTGGGGACAGTGGGGTGTGGGGGTGTGGTGGGGGTGTGGGGGGTGGTGGAATTCATGTTAAGAAGTGCTGCATGGAGGTGTGGTGGGTCGTGTGGGGGTGTCCATGCTGGGGGAATGAGGGGGTGGGAATTGGGTGTGGTGGGGGGGGTGTGGGGTGTGGGGGGTGTGGGGGGGGTGTGGGGTCGTGTGGTGGGGTGTGGGGTCGTGTGGGGGGGGTGGTGGGTCTCGTGTGGGGGGGGTGGTGGGGGAGTTAAGAGGAGGTGTGGTGGGTCGTGGGGATGTGTGGTGGGGTGTGGGGGGTGTGGTGGGGGTGTGGGGGTGTGTGGAGTGGGTCATGTGGGGTGTGGGGGGGGTGTGGTGTGGTCGTGTGGGGGTGTGGGGGGGGTGGGGGGAATTGGGGAGAGAGGTCAGAAAGTGTGCCGAGAGTGCATGTGGTGGGGAGGTGTGGGGGTGTGGGGGGGGTGTGAGGGGGGTCGTGTGGTGGGGTGTGGGGGTCATTGCGGTAGGGTGTAAGTCGTGTGGTGGGGTGTGGGGTCCTGTGCTGGTGGGTCGTGGAGGTGTGGTGGGTCAGGGTGGGACAGAGATGTAGTTGGTAGTGGCTGCAACAGGAGAGTTTGGAGTTAAGGACA